GGGGGTGGGGAGAGAGTAGAGTAGAGTACCGGCGGGGATCCCGAAAAGCTTTGCCGGGAGATCGAGACGTCAATCTTCAGGCCTTGTCGTCCACGCTTACGGCCGGAAACGTCGGGCTTCTCATGACATCCTTGGACTTGGGCGTCCGCTTGGAAAGGCCGCGATCCCAGAGGACCCACAGGGCGACGGTGAGGGCGGTGACGGGCAAGGCGGCCGCCCAGTATATCCAGAACTGGTAGCCCACCGTCAGCCCGTCGTCGGCGTCGTAGTCGAAGAAGCATGTGTCGAACAGGGCGGCGATGAAGGTGGCCGGCAGGAAGACGAGCGTGACGAGGGCGATGGTGCGCATCGCCGTGCTGTCCTTGCGCATCTCCAGCCCGAGATCGAGGGAGAGCTCGGTGTCGTGCTGGGCCAGGCGGTAGAAGAGGAGCTGCGTCTCCTGCGCCAGCCGTTCCTTGTTGGCCACGGAGCGGTCGCGCAGCGCCTCGAGCAGGTGCGCGGACGAGATGACCCGCTGGCGCGTAGACTCGTGAGCCGCCAGCCTCCTCAGCCTGGCCCCGTCGTCCGCTCCCAGCGTCGCCTCCCGGAGGACCGACTGCTGCTCCAGGATGGACCGGCACGTCTTGACGGACGTGTCCAGCGTCTCGACGTTGTGGATCATGTGTCTCGACACTTCGTGGTAGATCTGGTAGCGCCGTGCCTCCTCGGCCGAGAGCTCCGACCGCTTCTTCTCCCTGACCCGCACGAAGTCCCGGAGCGCCCATATCGACCGCTCCTGCACGCCCGCCAGGTCCTCGAGCAGCGCGGGGTACGGCCAGAAGGGGTCGAGCATGTCGCGCTTCCGCAGTCTCCGCGGCAGCGTCTCCTGGATCTTGACCCTCAGCTCCGCCGGTGAGTCGAAGACGAACATGACCGTCTTCCCCGTCGACGCCAACCACTTCACCACCACGTTGATCTTGTACCAGGAATAGGACATGCTGTCGGTCTTGGCCGGCTCCATCACCTTGGCCATCAGTCTCGCCCACGAGGCTGCATGCAGGGACCCTCGTGTGTCAGCCCACCAGTTCCCGACGGTTGGCTGCTGCTGAGAAAGGGAGGCGATACTTACTCACGCCCACCAGGTTCCCCTCGTCGTCCCTCTCCGTTTCGAGTCCGAGGTACCCGTTTGCGTTCCGATAGTAAGCTGCCCACCAGTAATCCGGCAGTGCTGTCTCGTCGCATACCATGCTGCGGCACGCCCCGTGTTCTCTGACCTTGTCGGCGGCTGCGAATCTGTATTGCCATCCACGTATTGCCACTGTCAGTCGCGTGGGGAGAGCTGCTTCGGATGAGTTCGACATGGACTTACACGACGGCCACATCTGCACTTTCAAACGCTCTCCTATCAAGGCATGGCTCTTCCCGGGGCTGCACTTCGGTCGGCCCCCTACCTTCATACTTCCAATGATTCATCCCTGGCAGGTGGCAAGGGTGAGCGTGTGAGGCAGGATATACCCGGCTTCGAAGCATGGGAGAACGAAGGCTTTCTTACCAGAATTCCACACGAATATAGGTGTTTGGATGCAGACCTTCTCTGACATTGTCGTTAGTTATGGATACGAAAGTAGGATGGAACATGCCCGCCGATGCCTATTCAGACTCGCTGCACTTTTTTATCATAAGAATAGTATGCTGACAACTCAGCACTGAGTGCCTTACCATTTTTACCATTTTATCATGCAGATAAGCGCTCGCGGTGGGGAATGAGGCTGTTCACTGGGGGAAGAGGGGGAAGACAGCCTAATGTAACCATGATGATGACGAGCGGTGACGATGCATATAAGCGAAGCACAGCAAAGAGAGACAGAAGGGATTTGCATGAAATATCAAAAAAATGTGTATGTAGTATCCCAATCCGATGCAACTCGGTACAACATGACTCCTCATCCAAAAAAGAGGTCCAAATTTACCATGTTGCGTACGAAAACCGATCCACTACAGAATGGAAGACTGACATGTAGAGAGAAGAAGGCGAAAAATATAAAAAAAGAGTAAGATAGAAGACAAAGGCGGACAAGATAGATACACCTGTTCAGGTCGTACAAGACGAAGAATGATGGAAAAGAGAAGAAGAAAAATAAAGGACAAGAGGCACACCTACAGGAATCCGAAGAGGTGAAGAAAAGCAAATGAGATAAAAAAGGGTGGAAGAAAAAGAAACCAGAAGAACTATTCAGATATCCCTGGCACGTCCGACTGAACTGCCCGTAGTGATAGAGCTCGTTATAAAAATAAAAATAAAAGAAGAAAAACAAAGAAAGAAAAAAAAAGCCTCGACACTTTAAAAAGCCGTCCCAAACGCCAAAGCCAGATCGTCTGTGATCCCGTCACACACCAGAAAATCTCGTTACAGAACAAGCCAGAGAGAAAGAAGGAGGGGGGGAGGGGGGGAGGGGGGGGACAGACGAAAATTCATCACCTTCTTTTTATAAAAAAATAAAAAATAAAAATAAAAAGGGGGGGGGGGGCAGAAAGAGGAGCAAGAAGCACCCGATTAAGCAGCATACCATGTCCCCTTCATCCCCAAAGTGCAAACTCATCCTCGGCATCATGTACGGCAAAGGGAGAAGCACCCGCAGAAAGAAGGAGATGAGTATAGAGGAGAGGAGACGTCTGCCGTCCGTCCATCCCATCGAGTTGTTGAGGCCAAGAGAAGCGGAAGCATTTAGCAGCCTGCTGATTCGAATAGGAGGGGCCTAGGCTGGTGAAGCGACGTCGACCTCGTGTGCCACGTCGAGGGCAGCCTCGTCGGTTCCGGTGCTGGCGACCGGTGTAGAGGCCGCAGTCGGAGCAGGAGGGGGGGGGGGAGGAGTGGGAGAAGTGAGAGCAGGAGCAGGGTATTTAGAGTCGTGGTCGCCAAACTGCAGATGAGGCTGGCGGGTGTTGTCATCGTCGTCGGCGTCCATGTCGTCACGGTTCTACATGACGGTCGAAGCCAGCAGACGGGACTCGACGTCGTCCATGGGGATGCTATCCATGCGGGGACCCTCCATGCCCTGGATGCGCTGTTCGATGGCCTGGAAGCGGGGCTCGTAGTTTCCGGCGCGAGTCTCGAGGTTCTCCATGCGCTTCTCCATGTGATCGAGGCGCTGCTCGATGCGGAGGAAACCGTTCATCATGTCGTGGCTGAGACGGTCGAGCTTGTTGGTGAAGGATCGGATCGAGGTGGCGAGCGGCGCATTCTCCGGCGTCGAGGGACCGTTAGACGCCCGGGGTTCGTGGTTGTGCCGAGCCTCCTGGAGGGCGAAGCGCCACTGGTTGCCCAGCTGGACTTCGCAGACGGCCTTTGCACGGAAGGGGCAGTCGATCTTGCGGGTCGAGGGGTTGCGCTTCTTGGCGGTGCTGCTGTATTTGACGCCGCCGCGGTCGCAGACGAGGTCGTATCGCGTGGGCTTCCCGTCGCGGTAGTTAGATGCGCGCAGCTTGACGATGCCGTAGCCCTGATCCTTGGCCACGCGCTGCACGGACGCCATCAGATCGTCAAACGATCGGAAGATGCCCTCAGGCGGCGGGATCAGCGACGGCGGCGGTGTTGTCCCCGGCATCGCCGTCGCCGCCGTCGTGGGTCCTTGGTAGGCCGTGGTTGCGATCGGTTCCAAGGCTGCCAACGCCTTGGTGTGTCTGTTTTCGATGTAGAAGGTGGAAATAGAGAGAGGCCAGTGGGGGGGGGGGAGGCTAAAAGGAACGAGCGAGAGAGAGAGAGAGAGACTGAACCTCTCTTCTTCCTTCTCCCCTGCTCCCTCAAAAGAGGAGTCGTTTTTAGTGAAGGAGAGGTGGTAGGAACCTGAAGAAACAGAGAAGGGAAAAAAAGGATGACGGATGTAGGGTGGTACCCCTTTCTTTCTCTGGTCCCCCGGAGATCGCGAAAGAAAACGATACACGCGGAGACACGAGCTTGGTGCTGATGGTGTTGGGCTGTGAGGATTTTTCCAATCCGCACTGTTGACAAGGTAAGGTTTGGTGTTGGTCAGTCACCGGTCAGGCGCCCGATTCACAGTCTGAAAACACAGCAAGCCGCCTTCGTACGTAACGCGGACGCGTATTGGTTCCCCAGGTGCCTATAAGCGGGGACTCTCTCTGTGCTGAAGTCTGGCGACAGTCCATCGTACGAGATAAAGAAAACAGGGCAGAGGGAGATGTCTAGAGTCTGCTGTCATCTTCGCACTCTGTCTCCTTCTCTCTCTTATCCTCTTATCCTGTCTCTTACCATGTATGTTACGGGAAAAGTGGCGTTCTTTTAAATCTTTTGTCAAATATACTCCGTATAATACAACTTTGGGGTTTTGTAATATGTACACTATTACTAGTACTACAAGCTACAGCAATAGTAGAGTCCACTGCATCTCAGATCCCCAGCCCCACGTGGTTGGGGACCTCTGTTTTCTGTTTGGCTGTCGTCAGCTCCTCCTAACTGTGTCTCACGTGACATAGAGTCGAACTAGTCGCCTCCAGTCAGCCAGCCCGCATATTCTGTTGAGAGGTACAATATTCTATGGCCTGTGTTGTCTAAAAGTATTATTACCACCTACATAAGGGGGAGGGAAAGGGGTGGGGGGTGGGGGTTACCTCCATTTTTTTCAACATCTTCACCCACCTACCCTATCATGAGGATTTGTCGTCGTCGTTCAATCTGGTACTACGAGGATTACGAGGATACCTGCATGATCTGGGAGGAACTCTGCAAGAGAATATCTTCTTTGTGTACTTTTTTTTTTCACGTCGATTTTGTAATCATATATTGTCGTGGAGGAATAGAGTTTCTCGAACCTTTCCCTTCCTCCCTGTTCTAACGACGTAGAGCTTTTTATCCGTGGCGTCAAGTCTGTACATACTCACGGTCCTTAGCCGGCCACGCGCCTTCTCATCTCCCTCTCCCTCCATCCATCAACAAACAACTCTTCCCCCTCCCCCCTCCCCCTTCGACGCAACCGTCATCACAGCAGCAACATCATCATCGTCGACTTGGCGGAGCAGCATTCATAGCTCGGAACCGGCCTGGAAAGCTTTCGCCTCCAAATCCCCCTCCCCCGGCGGTGTAGGGAAGAGCGAGGTAACGCTCCCTGTACGATGAGCGAGCAGCCGACAAACGGCACCAGTGGTGCCGCCGATCAGCCAGCCTGGGATGAGACGCGAATCGAGGAATCACTCACTAGGCTTCACCTGTTACACATCAAGGTACGTATTTTGCGAGAGCAAGAAACAGATCAACTACCCACCCCCGCCAAGTGGTAATCGAGGCTGACCATGCAACAAAGGCTCACACGCTGCGAGAAGTCATTCCCAAGATGCTAGAGACCCTGAGCCATAAATACCCCTCCCGTATGTCCCTGACTAAACCTGACCACCAGAACCCTTACCTCTTTCCCTCAGACATGGACCGATCTCTTCTTTGCTAACATTAGGAGGAGCCCAACCATCAGCTGAGACACTGTTCAATGCCTTTGTCAAGGCCGCAAATGATGCACAGTCCAGCATCACCGACTTCACCGGCCTGATGCAGGAGGAGCAGACGAAGGCCATACTTGCGCAGGCTCAGAAGAGCGCGCAGGAGGATCCCAAGGGTATCAAGCCCTGGAGGTACAAGGATCACCCCGACTGGTTTGATCCCAATGGCAAGTCATGATGGAGTAGCCGCGCGCTGGGTTTGGAGGGAAAGCATGATGGCCATCAACTGCGGTGAGCGACACGATGATGGGCACGTCGCTGTTGTTACGAGGCACGACATTTTCTTCTTCTTTTCAACTGGTTGTCATTTATCTTTATTCAATTTTGGGTTACAGCATGCCTGTGTTCTATATAAATTATTTTCCATGGAGAAATCTTCCCTGAACATCACTACGAAAGGGGAATTCTTTCTTTCTTTCTTGGAAACTTGTCTCATAATGGGTCTCTGCGTGATGAGCACCATGTCACCCAAGAGGGCTCCCTGGTATGCATCTCATTCTGCAGCCTCGACAAGGCTCACCACTCAGAGAAATAGAGAGAGAGATAGAGAGAGCCAGACATGGGATCTGAAGACGAATGCGCTGCTACCACCTACGTACTACCATGCAGAACCCAGGACTTGATTACGTAGCTCAAACAGTCATGGCACCTACTAATAATACTACATGTACGAGTAGACGTAGTCTCCCATCGCTATCATCCCGTACGGCCGAGTTTGGTTCCAAGAAAACCGGGCCTCAGTGGTGTTAGGTACACTCGTACAGTGAGTGATGTAGGCCCCAAGGTCCCAGAGCCCAACAGCACATGCACATCTACGGACTGACCAGGGCCTGGGAGATTTTTGCAGGGTCTCCGTGAGAGAGAGTCACGTGCGGAGCCTGGAGCCCCACAGCATCGACACTCTGATTCGCCCAGTCAGCGGGCACAATCAGTTTCTTTCTGCCCACACAAAATTTCCCACCCAATTCTCGAAATTCATCGCCGTTCTTTCTCGTGAGATACTTGCACCGTTCAACTCCCAACCGACCAAACACGAGCAACAATGGCGTTCCAGCGTGTCACCTACCGTCGCCGCAACCCGTGAGTTCTGCTCTCCTGGATACCTGAACAAGGCGATACATTCTTTTCTGCATTCCTTCCTGGCCGAACAACGTTGGACGACTGGGAGAATATATTCGTCTTGGAGGGGTCTTTCTGTGACCACGGGAGGAAGGGGTGATAAAGGACTGACAGAGGCATCATCACATTACAGTTACAACACGCGGTCTAACAAGACCCGTGTCATCAAGACCCCCGGCGGCGACCTGCGCCTTCTGCACATCAAGAAGCGCGGCACTGTCCCCAAGTGCGGTGACTGCGGCTCCAAGCTCTCCGGCGTAAGTGCCAACCACAAACATACACACGCACCCATCTTCCTCTTGGGTCAAGAGAACACACGAGACAATCGCATCGGCACGAAACGGCGGGACTATCGGACGAGAGATGAAATTGGTCCCAGTGGGAAGAGAATAGCTCTTCTCTAGGAGATCTACGTCGAACCGTCTGGGCTTCTCGGGAAAAAAAGTCTTCTCCCTCGAAGGACCCTTCGGCGGGCATCCTACCAGCTCTTGTCTACGACTACCTCTTCCCCCCCCCACGGCTATCTCATGACCTGTCTCCTTTGTCGCCATCTCTGTGTCCTAGTCGGAGAAGGAGGGACCCAAGTGAACCAAGAGGAAAAGAAAGAATTCCAAGCCCTAACACGTCTCACTACAGATTCCCGCCCTCCGCCCTCGCGAGTACGCCTCCATCTCCCACCCCAAGAAGACCGTCCAGCGTGCCTACGGTGGTTCGCGATGCGGTAACTGCGTCCGCGACCGCATCGTCCGCGCTTTCCTTATCGAGGAGCAGAAGATTGTCAAGAAGGTGCTGAAGGAGCAGGAGCAGAGCCAGAAGAAGAAATAGATTGCGCGCTGAGAAGAGGGAAGCATGAAAATTGCTGGTCGGTTTGATCGGATAAGAACAAAAAAAGAAAAGAAACATTTTTCCCAAAAAAAAACGCTCCGTTTTCTTCTTTTCCTCCATCCCACCAAACCCACTCTCCATCTGACAGTTCTGCCAAATGACGATGCACCCGCTGCCGTCGTAACTGCGAAACTCTCGCAACGAAAGAAATGACGAAAGATGTTGTTTCCTTTGTCAAGCCAAAAAAAAAGTAGGGGAGAGGGCAGTGGGATTTCTTCTATAAGCTGCCATGGAGGGGAAAAACTTACTTGTCTTCTGATTCATTGCTACGGTGTTCAATAGGGACAAAAAAAGAGAGGTGACTTGCATGATTCATCCGATTCTGTGCCATCATATTCTGACATCTAACATTTACCTGTATACTACTCCCGGCTGCTGCTCTCCCCTTGCTGTCATCTCCTAAAGAGTGTGTGCGTACGAGTGCATGCATGTATGGTGGTGGCCGTGGGTGGACAAGACTTGACCAGAAAACTTGGGTTCATATCCACTTTTATTCCCGTCATGCTTAGCGCATTCCGCCCGTAAATCGGTGGCCTCCGGGGTATTACGGTGAAGAGCCAAAGAGCGAAAGAGGTAGAGAGAGAGAGAGAGAGGTACGTATCTAATGGTCAGCAAGATGCGGAGAGGACCAATTTTGCCCACACTTTTCGCTGCGTCCCCCACGTTTTAGCTCGGTTCGCCCATGTAAATTAGCATCAGCAGTCGGCCGTCCTCGTACCTCTAACGTTTGGGGGACAGGAGACTTGTATTATTGTCCTCCTCAACACATACGCATCACGCGACAGAGCCGTACTGGCAGTTACCCTTGTGTGAAAATCCGCAACCGCCACGATGCGCACAAGTCTCTACTCCGGGGCCATGTTCATGCGCTGCGCCGCCCGAGTAGCGATAACCTCGTCTTCTTCCTCCTCGACAGCAATCATACGACAGTTGCCCGCGGCGACGTCGATCCAGCAGCAACACCATCACCACCATCACGACCACCACCGATACATACACACCAGCGATGCGCGATCGAAGAAGCCCAGCGGAAGAAGTAGCAGGAAAAACGGTGACGGGCAAGATGACCGCGCGAGGTCCGCATCTGCCGCCCGTCCCCCCACGGACATTGCCAGCCTCGACGTCCTGGGCTCGGTCCCCGCCCCGTCCACCTCGGTGGACGTGTGCATGCAGGACGGCTTCGGGCTGAACAGCGGAGTCACAATCTCCGGAGGGGACGGGGCCATACTCGTCAATGGCGAGGCCTTTTCCTGGCGTCCGTGGGAGGCGAATGATGCTGTTGCTGGTGGTGGTGGTGGAGCGGCCGGGGAGATGCGGATGCGGCTCGTCAATGCCAAGGGACAGTTTGAGGTCCCCGCTGAGTCGCTGGGGATGCTGGATATGCTGTGGCCTCGACCGGGTATATACCTTCTATCCCACCATCGTCCCCGTCTCCTCTCCTTCCGTCCTTTTGAAGGAAGAGAGGATATCGGAAAACAATGCTAACGTGTTATCGGGAGAGACTATAGACTTGCTGATCATCGGCGTGGGCAAAGACATCCGACCACTCAGTCCAAAGACGCGCATGGTCCTCGCTGATATGGGGTACCGCGTCGAGGTGCTCGATACGAGAAACGCGGCTTCGCAGTTCAATATGCTGGCTACCGAGAGGGGCGCATCCGAGGTGGCGGCTGTTCTGATACCAATTGGGTGGAAGGAGGGCGTGGGAGCGAGCTATTAGAAACGGTTCAATGGGTGGGGGGGTTCTTGCACGCTGCTGATACCACCTATTATTGCATGTACGATATCGGATATATGGACCTTGGGGGTGTGTTTCTGTACATTATAACGGCACATTCAGTGCGTGATACATGTTACCGGACATCCATTCTAGATGTGCAGTGCTGCAGTTGAGCTATGCGATCCGAGTGTCGGACCTGCTGGTGCCTGTCCGTCACCATCCTCTTCATCGGTCTGCCCCAGCGATCTGCCCCAGCGATCTGCCCCAGCGGCTCAGACATCAGGTAGAAGTGGCCTTGCTGCACAACTACTTCTTTATTTTATTTTTTATTCTTCTTTCTATTCTCCAGGCAAGAGCGCCTAGACGCTGCTCGGGGGAGTGGCCGATAACGATGAAAGGACTGTGAACTTTGGTCGGGGCATGAGAGTAGTAATTCATCGAGACCGTAGCAGGTACAGATGGCTGGGATCTCAATCCCGGTCTTATCGCGGACAGGACTGTATCTTTCTACTAGTCGCTTCTCGTCAGCATGTATCCAGGTGGCGGTCGTCGGCACATCACGATGACGAAGAAGGCTAGGATGGCCGGGCGCGAGATAGGCGAGAGAGGAAGGTTGACGACGCAAGGCAAGCTGAATGTAGCTACGATCAGGTCACCGAGAAGCGAGCAGTATGAGCGTGACAGGGACGAGATGGAACCGGAACCCTAAGCGGGTGACAGCAGTGGTGGAGACGAGAGTCATCAATGGTAATATGGGCTATAGCCTATGGATGACGGTTGGGATGGACAAATGACGGTTGGTGCGAGAACCACGCGGCTGAGATTGACTCCGTGTGGGGAGATGCGCGATCATGATTGGCCAGATGTCTGGATTGCCCTCAAGTAAATCTGTAATCTGTACAGAGATGAATACATGCTATTATATACTGTAGGCAGCCAGCAGCATGCACTAAAGCAGCAAAAAGTAAACAGAAGGTGCAAAGAGGAAAGAGCAAGCAAGGCAAGGAAGGTAATATGTCATGGCAAGTGAGCGTGAGCCAGAGTGAGGCAGGCAGGTTGCCCCTCCTCGTCACTCCTTCCCCATCGCACATGCCATAGCAGGCTCAGCGCTCTTTATCCCCTTTTTTATCACTTTGTCGTCGTCTCATTCTCTTCCATCTTGTTCCCCGTTTCCACTTCCCTGTTTCCTTGTCCCACAACATACAAGAAAACACTAGACAAATCCACCGCTTCAAATTTCTGCCTCTTCGTTTCTCCTTGCTGTATTTTGTCCGCACGCCACCTGGAAAACCCCCCCCCCCCCCCCACTACTGATCTGACGCATCCAACTCAGACAAAAGCCTTCACCGCCCGTACGAAAAGGGAAAAAAAGAGAGAGAGGAAGAAAAGAAGAGCAGAGAAAAGACTGGAGGCGCACTCGGTTTTTACGCTGTGTGTGACTCCAGATCCACTCACATCCCGCCACAGACAAATCGGCTCCCAGCAAGCCTCACTCCTCTCTCGATCTTGGGACGTGCCCCCGATTGATTATATTGCCGACCCTCCGTAGCCCCTGCAGCGGGGGCTTATTCCTTCTTCTCGTCTTCTGGGTTTTGGGGCGGAGATATTCTTCTCCTCGCCCTCCGTCCGTTTCAGTTGGGCGTCTCTCAAGCTACTACCATCGCTCCGTCGCATTCGTAGGGAATGGACCCTCTTTCGGTAGACCCCCATCTCACAGACCCTCCGCTCCTCAGCAGCAATTCCAAGTTCAAGTCGTACACCACCAGCCAAGCCAGGTATCCCGGTATCCGTGTATTCTTCCACGAGCATGCCAAGGCCGACGAGCTTTATCGCGACAATGGACCTCTGCCTCTGCTCGTCTTCATCCCGGGACTCGGTGGTTCCGTCGCTCAGTTCCACCCATTAATGAGCAGTCTCATCGACGTGGCCCCGTGCCTCTCATTCGACTGGCCCGGTGGCGGCCGCTCGGAGTATGCGCCTACCTCGTGGGGTCCCTACAGTCCTGACGCGCTACGGGAGCTGGTCGAGATGATCATCGAGGACCACCGCAACAAGGACGCGGGGCAGACAGCCGTGCTCATCGGTCACAGCATGGGCACCGCCTATTGCGCCATGCTGGCCAACCCGACAGTGCCACACAAGACATCTCTGTCGGAGTACATCGTCGGCGTCGTTGGCATCTGCCCCATCTCGAGCCCCATCAACGAGAAGTCGGCTGCGTGGGGGAGGAGGCTCATGCTTATTCCCGACTGGCTGTTCGATCTCTGGCGTATGTGGGATGGAATGGGGGGGCCCGAGAGCCCCAGCGTCGGCCGCTTTGTCGGAAAAGGTGCCGACGCCGAGCTCAAGCTGCTCCAATACCGCTTTAACAAACAGAGCCGCTCGCCTGTCTGGAAGCGCATGTTCTATGGACTCCTGTCATACAAGGACGGGAAGCCCGCCGGTGGCTTTACCGGCCTCGACATCTGGGCTGGACTCAGATGCCCGGTTTTCCTTATATCTGGCGAGAACGATGCCCTGACACCCCCCGCAGAAGCCAAGAGAATTTTTCAGGTGCTGAAGTCGGGGGACAACGCAGCCGCTGCTGATCCCGAGGGCTTCACGACTATGTCGAGTACATCAAGCCCCGGCGCCCCAGAGCCGCCCAAGACAGCTCCTGCCGATACGGCTCTTGCCGATCCGCCCCGGGGCACTACCCGCCCTCTTCCGCTTTCTGTCGACGATATCTGGGAGGAGCATTTCCAAGAGCGCGCAAAGGCGCTCGATCAGGCAGCCGAATCCGCGGGCGATGATGCCTGTGACGACCACCCTAGTACGCCCCACGAGACCCCGGCTGCCATCCCACCCCAGCCGCGGCATCCTGGGAGAGTCGTCGACATCAAGATCATGCCCGCCCCTGCCACGCATGCGGTTCTCTACGCGCCACGGACTGTCCGCGCCATGGCCGGCCTTATCGGTGACTTCCTGGCTACCAACGTCACGGGACGGCTCTCGCTGGGCTGGCAGCTGCAGTATCTCTCTCGCGAAGGCAAGTGGGATGTCAAGAATCTTAAGAAGTGGCGTTCCGTCAACCCCGTATCCGACCCGATCGGCCCCCCTGGAAACCCAGTCTTCCGGGCAATGAAGACGCTGCGTGAGGCTGACGACGTGCACACCCCGAGCGTCTTTGTCTCCCGCTGGGGTCCACCAAAGATCCGCCACGTTGTCGATATATCCAAAGATCAGCCCGTCTACGACCCTCGGGGTCTCGAGCGCGCGGGCATCAAGTACCACAAGTTCCCCACCGTGTCCAAGGTACCACCGACAGCCGAGGAGGTGGAGGCGTTCATTGACCTCATCGATGCATTGCGGGATGTCCACACAGGCCAAGAGAGCGACCAGGAGGTGTCAGAAGACGCCGAGGGCCTCATTGGCGTGCATTGCCATTACGGCTTCAACCGCACAGGCTACTTTCTCGTCTGCTACCTGGTGGAGAGGTGCGGCTTTACTGTAAAGGAGGCCATTGAGGAGTTCGCCAAGGCTCGGCCTAACGGCATCAGGCACTCGCACTTTTTGGACCGGTTGTACGTGCGGTATAACCTGGACAGGGAGTAGTATTCTTGGGGGAAGGACAGAGGTCAGACATGTGTTATGAGAACCCGTCGAGGGTCTTTTTTACGAATTGTGCTACGCGGCGTCTTGGGATTGGTGTTTATTGCTTCTTCTATATTTATCGGGGACGTCAGCTTTTAGATCCGGCTTGTCTTATCCTCGTTCACACGATACCAGCATTGTAGGTTATGAAATGGAATGGAAAAAGGGCACATCATTTTGTTACGAAGACAGATATGACTAAAATGAGAGAACTATATCACTGCTAAGAGTACGATTTCACGTGCTGGTCCAACTCTTGGAAGAGAAGACGGATAGGAATAGAGGGTGATGGTCGCTAGGTTACGCTGATGCATACGTACAAAAGACAAGGAAAAGTGCGAGACAAGAAGAAGAGGTAGAGAAAGAAGAAGAAGAGATAGATATAGGTACTTGAACTAGACGGAGGTCAGGAGCCTAGACTCATGAAAATGCTCAGCCTGGTGATCGAGCATGGACTCGGCGCCAGCGAGGTCCATCTTCTCTTTGAGTTCCTTGGTAATGGGCTCGACATCGACGGCGAGGTAGTCCCTGAGGAAGCGTCCGACGTCGGTATTCTCGACGTTGCCGCGGATGTCGGACACGGCGTCGACGTTGCCAGACGAGTAGATGTTGACATCAACGGCGGTGTGGCCGTGAGTGCTCCAGCCGACGTGAGCGCGAAGGGAGATGATGGCGGACAGCACGGTGACGGCGGAGTCGGCCTGGCGGACGAGGAGCTGGAGCTCCTCGTCTGTGGCGTCGTCTACGCCGAGCCCGTCTCGGAGGATGTTCTTCTCTATCCAGGACCGGAGATGGCCGGTGGCGGTGGAGGACCCCTGCCCGTCCTCGCCGTCCTCCTTCCGGGAAGCAACGTGACGGGCCAGCTTGGCGGCGAGGAACTCGCAGGAGGAGGATGCGCGGGCCAGGGCCTCGGGGTACCATCCGTAGACGGGCAGGTGACCGGGCTCCTGGATGGCGGTGGCCAGGCCGCCGGTCTCGTGGTCGCTGGTGGCGACGAGGACGGTCTCGGTGTCGGAGTGGCGGATGAAGTCGAGGACGGCGCGGAAGGCGGCGTCGTACTCGAGAACCTCGTGGACCTGGGCGGCCGGGTCGTTGATGTGGCCGGCATGGTCGATGCGGGAGCCCTCGACCATGAGGAAGAAGCCGGTGTCGGAGTCGGCGGTGGCGCGGTCGAGGGCACGCAGGGAGGCGGCCGTCATCTCGCTGAGGGAGGGGTAGACGTCCGGCATCGCACGGCGGTCGAGCTCGAAGGGGATGTCGCGGGGGGCGAACAGGCCGAGGTAGGGCAGGCGGACGTCGGAGTCGGGGCGGGCGAAGGCGTCGAAGCCGGCGCGCGAGTCGGCGTAGGTCCAGCCGTGGTCCCGGGCAGCCAGGGCGGCGACGTCGACGTCGTCGGCGCGGCAGCTGCCCGCCGTGGAGTTGGGGAGGAAGTGGCAGCGGCCGCCGCCGACGAGGAGGTCGACGGTGCGGCCGAGGACGCCCTCGCCGACCTCCTGCAGGGCGATGTCGTCCTCCATGGACCGCAGGAGCACGTGGCTGGCGAAGCAGGCCGGGGTCGCGTCGGTGACGTCGGTGGTGACGGCGAGCCCGGTGACGTACCCGGCCCGCTTGGCGGCCTCGAGCACGGTCCCGCACGGCTCGCGGTCCGGCGTGACGGATATGGCGCCGTTGTAGCTCTTGCGGGCGCACGAGAAGGCGGTGGCCCCGGCCGCGCTGTCCGTCACCAGCGAGCTGGTCGACCGCGTGCGGCTGGTGCCCCAGAAGTGCCGGTCCAGCGTGAGGGTGTCGTGGATAGGCAGCGACTCGACGTGCTGCCGGTAGCTGCGCGTCAGGGAGAGCGAGGCCGGTCCCATGCCGTCCGACACCATGAAGACGAGGTTACGCTTGGTAGTCGGGGGCGGCGGCGTCGTCGTCGTCGTCGGCTTCTGCATCCATACGGCCAGCACGATGACGACGGCTGTCGCCAAAGTGGCCCATGTGAAGAGGAGGATTTCCCTGGTTCGGGATGAGCGCTTCGTGATGGCGTCTGTGGTCCCGCCGTCGGGTATGAGGGGACTTCGTTCGGACGAGGCCTGGGATTTTGCATGTCTCTGTCAGATTCTCCTAGATATCTTCTTCTTTCGAGGGCGGGATGGAGGAGGGGGCTGAGTTGGTTTTGGATCTTACCATGCTGGAAGGTCGTTCTTGTTTCTGTCTTTATTCTTATTCTTATTTAATCTCTTTCAAAGATTCCCTTTCGCTTGGTTGATGGGGCTGGATGATGATGACGATGATGAAAGGAAAAAGAAGGTGAAGGCGGTGATGATAAGTAGCGTTATGTAGGGGTTATCGGATAGACGTACTGGTAGTTATCGTGCCCAGGTCCGTTTTGGGGATCAGTGCCCTAATGACGTGGGACGAGGGAAGTGATGGGTGTGTATGGTGTATGCATAGAAAATACAATCCGGAACAATGGGGTGTTTTGTTTCTTATTATCTCTCTGATTGCTGATGCTGGTAACAGATGATTGTATATGTTACATCATATACGAATGTGCAATCTGCAAATTATAATCGTAGATGCTCCGTAAAGATACAAATACAAATACAAATATAAATACAATACAAATACAAATATAAATACAATACAAATACAATAATATAAATACAAATATAAATACAAATATAGATAGAGATATGAATTTATTGTGATTTATTGTGGCACGACAAGCTTATCTCATTGCTAAACCCATCCGGCTCGGCTCGTCGCTGCTACTCGACAAATAAGATTACCGACATACGGAGTACAGGTAACAAGTATAATACATGAAAATAAATGGAGTACGGAGAGCAGTCTAGTAATACAGATTATTGCTATTAATATGATGCATCCATCACAAGCAAGGTTGGGGTGGGTGGGTAGGCGACATCAATCACCTCACGAGGACACTTTTGCGGGGATGAGGCCAAGTTAGAAGTGGGACTCGTGACCCTCTGTGCGTCGGATCATAATAATACCGAACAGACAGCACGGTGCTCACTCCGGTGACTGATGAGAGACAAAGACCGATGATGGCTTGATGGTATATTATGTCGGTGGGACCTCTGATCTTCCTCTGATCTTGTTCTTTGGTTCTCGTTGATGTTGAGATCCTGGGGATCATCTATGTAGTTGTCACGAATGAAGGACACACTAAGGGATGACGTACCAGTACCGCACTCCTCCCTCTATATAAGAATAGCTATGGGTTAGGGGTTTCCTATATACCTATACCCCTATACACATGACAACACTGATGCCTCCGCACTGATTATGGTGACAGCAGTACTATCACGATCAAGTGATGATACCGAGGCAGGCAGACACGAGAGGGGAGAACCATGTAGACGGAGAGGTGCGGCCAATCTAGCTCGATCTCGCGTCTGATGTAAGATGCGCAGATTGTCTTGCCAGGTATCATTGAATGCATCAAGAAGGGAAACAGAATAATGACCCCAGATATTGCTGATCACGGATCGATGCACTCGTCTCTCGGCTTCTCAAGTCAGTACGCGTACGACTCTGGCGCCCTCCTCTTCGGTGCGAGAGTGTGATAGGCACATACGGATGGATGGTGATACTCGTCGATACCTTGGAATCGCGGACCTAGAACCCCATCCATCTGTTGCTATCATCACCCATCGGCATCAGATCAATCCCAGCGTGTCATGTCAAGGAGCCGCCGCACAACGACGCTCCGGCACCTGGTCTGCCCAAGCCACCGTATCGGCCAACAGTCCACCATCACCAATCCCGCACCTCCAATAAGCAGCACATCTCCCCCATCGGGCAGGAAGAAAAAGAAAAGAGACGCAGCAAGGGGAAGGATCACACAAAATAACGGGGACAGAGTTTACCGAAAGGAAACCGATCTGTTTTGTTTGTTTGCTTGCTTTTTTCCCCCCCGACATTGTCAAAGGGTATTATTATACGTCGTAGTATGGGTTTGATCAAGGTCTCATGAAGCGCCCGTGTGACGTTGAGGTTGGTTATCTATGTGATGAGACTACACACGATATGATATATACAATATATATATATATATATATACATATACATACATATATATATATGTGTGTGTGTGTGTGTGTGTGTGTGTGTGTGTGCGTGCGTGTGTGTGCGTGTGTATATATAACGGCCAGATGTGTTTCCCGTCTTTCACTCTGTTTCGATCCAACCATCTCCAAACTGCATCTCTCCTCGTTTCCATCCTCTCCATCTGCTCATGTTTACCCAAAAGTTCCGCTGGACGGGAGTCTCATCACCTTTCTTCTCACACTCTTTCTATATAACCCCCCCCCTTTTTTTTTCCCCCCCACCAAAAGACAGAGAAATAAAAATGCTCCGAAAACTCACCCTCTCTTCTTCCCTCGTCGCCCTCACCTTGGCTAACCCCATCCTCCTCCGACGTGAGGTAGACAAGCTGGACCGGAACGCCTTCGAAGAGGCCCAGCAGCGCGACGACACCGCCACCCGATCCTTCTCCAACGTCCCCATCATGAACTCCCAAGGCAAATGTCTCTTCGTAGACGAGCTGTCGGGTGACTCTAGAGCCAACCTGACGCCCATCCAGATTGGAGATTGTGGCAGCAGCAGCAGCAGCAGCAAGACCGAGGGTCAGGGGTGGGACATCATCACCTCGGGCGAGCACGACGACCGTGACGATCGCATCCTCATCGTGAGCACGCTCACCCAGGCCTGCTTCAACGCCGACCCCCGACGCCCCGAGGGCTCGCAGGTCAACCTCTTCTCGTGCGGGGGCCGGGCCGACGGCGGTGGAGAGGTGACTGACTCGCAGCTCATGGCCACGGACGGGTCGCCGGCGCGGTTCAGGCTGTCGCCCGATAACGGGGACGGGTACTGTCTCACGGCCGGCGGGGAGGCAGTCGACATCGAGAGGTGCGATGAGAATGCCGACGAGCAGTGGTTCAGTCTGGGCGGAGACGGGTCCAGCACCACCACGGCCGCTGCCGCTCCTGCTCCTACTGCTACCGCTGCCACTCCTACGTCCGGGGGAGCTGCTCCTGCCATGGCCGGCGTCGACACCGCCACAGCATCGCCCACCGCGGAGCCTTCTTCCGCCGCCGCCGCCGCCGCCTCGTCGGGGACACCGGCGGCGACGGCGACGGGAGCGTCATCGTCCGCAGACGCGGACTCCACCGCCGCCGTCTCCCGCGCAGGAGGCAACCTGATCCCAACCGCCGTGGCCGAGGCCCAGGAATTCGACGACACGGCTACCCGTCCGGTGCAGGGCGTCCACATCCGCTCTCCCGACGGGCGGTGTCTCTCCGTCGACGCCACGGCCGGCGACTTCCGCGAAAACATCATCCCGGTGGACATGGCGACGTGCTCGGCCGACGAGGCCGGTCAGAAATTCGACATCGTCACCGCGGGGAGACACGATGATGCGACGCTCGGAGAGGCCTTGGTCGTGAGCGCCCTGACCAACGGGTGCATCAGCTTCGACGCCAGACGGGCAGAGGGAGACACCGTCACCGTTTTCTCGTGTGGTGGGAGAGCTGATGGTGGTGAGTTTCTCGGAGTTTCTCTCTCTTTTTTTTCTCCACCCCCCTCCTCCTTCTTTCCTTTCCCTTTCCCTTTCCTTTCCTCTCCTCTCCTCTCCTTTTGCTTTCTTTCTCTCTCCTCTCTTCTCTTCTCTTCTCTCTTTTCTTTTTTCTTTTCTTCTTTTTTTTTTTTTTTTTGATTTCTGTCTTGCTTCCAAATCATGAATGACCCGACTGACATGAAAAACAGGAGGCCAGACGGACACGGCGCAACTGTATCCGTTCAAGAAGGGGGATGACTCCGTGACCCTGGAGCCCACCTCTGGGAATGGGGAGGTCTGCTTAGTGTCTGGTAGCACGAGGCTTGAATCCGGGAGCTGCGACGGTAGCGAGACGTTTGATCTGGTCCAGAACATTTAGTAGCACAAGTTTATTAGTTTATCTAGTGATTTATTTACTCTTTAATTGCTTTTCTTCTCATCAGAGAATCGAAGGATGGACGATGTCTGTGGAAGAAAGGGAGAGACAGAAAACGGTGCGATATGATTGAAAGATGACGTAGTCATCACCCCCTCTAACCCCCCATCTAAACGGTGCCGCAGAATACGAGGCATGATTGACAAAAAAAAGAGATTATGAAACTCCACCTTCACCACCATAAGATCCATTTCTCATTCTTGTGTCTGTGTGTGTGTGCTGTTTCGGCTTCGTTGTTCTCCCCAACGCATCGCCCGCATGCGCTCGAATCGACCATGGTGACGCGCGACGACGCGACGGCAGGAGAAGCAGCCACGGCAGTTCCAGCAGCACCACCAAGCCAGACGTCGCCAACGTCTCCGACATCCCCGGCATCATCCAGCGCACCAGCAGGCGCAAGCGGCGTGCCGCGCGTACAGACCTCATCATCCACATCGTCGACGTCGTCTTCCGCACGCAATAACAACAATGGCCGACTCCGCCGGCGCCCGACGAGCAGCACCAGCTCCCCCATCAAGACGCGCCCCCGAGCCGCCACCTTCCGCACCGTCGAAGACTTTGACGGTCTGGCGACGAACTACCAGGAGCGGCCGGGATGGCAACCCGGTTCGGAGCCGGGCTTCGACCCGGGCCTCCCGGACGGAGGGCACGCGTCCATGCCGACGCTCAGCGTCCCCTGCGTGATAACGGTCGTGGACTTCTCGTCCGACAGGGTGGAGACGAGGCACATGGGCAACGACGACTTCATCCGGTTCCTGGACGAGGAGCCGCAGCCGGCCGGATGGGTCAAGTGCCGGTGGATCAACGTCAACGGCATCAGCTGGGACGTCATACAGGCCGTGGGCGCGTGCAAGGGACTGCACAAGCTGGCGCTCGAGGACGTCATGAACCTCCGCAACAGGACCAAGATGGACTGGTACCCCCACCACGCCTTCGTCGTCATGACGCTGCAGAAGCTGGTGCACCTCGTCGACTCCTCTTCCGACTCCTCGTCCGACTCGGACGATGACGGCGGTGACGACTCGGACGACGACGGCCACCGCCGCTCCAGCCGCTCCAGCCGCTCCAGCAGCGCCGGCACGAGCGTCCACTCACGCAAACGCTTCTCCTACCTCCGCGAGGCGTTCGGGGACCTGCTGCGCTCTCGACAGCAGGCTCGTCGCCATAACCAGCAGGACCAGGAGAAAGATGTAGCGGGCCGCTGCACCACCCACGACGACGGCAACGGCAACGCGGCCGACCTGGGACTGCGCGAGACGGGCATCCTCCGCACCCTGCAGCGGTACCACGCATCCGGCAACGAGGCCCGCACCGAGTTCATGGAGCGACACTCGTCCCTGGCACCGCACAAGATGGCCATCTCGGCCGAGCAGGTGTCCGTCTTCCTCACGTCGGACAACACGGTCGTGTCCTTCCTGGAGACGTCGGCGGGGGACGTGGAGCGGCCCATACTGGCGCGCCTGTACACGCGGGGCACCGTGCTCCGCCAGTCCTGTGACGGCTCCCTGCTCGTCCAGGCCATCATCGACGCCATCATCGACCTCGCCATCCCCCTGATGGCCGTCTACAACGACATCATAGGCGACCTGGAGCTCGACGTCCTCACCGCCCCCTCCATCCACCTCAGCCGCAGCCTGTACATCTGCACCAGCGAGATCAACAAGATGCTCAGCTTCCTCGGCCCCATCGAGAACCTCGTCAACGGCCTGCGCGACCACCGCACCAGCCTCGACCACGACTCCGCCATGGCCCTCCTGGCCGACCCGGCCGCCGGCGTCATCATCAGCCCCCAGACCCACACCTACCTCGGCGACGTCCTCGACCACATCATCATCATCACAGAGGGTCTCAGGCAGTCCAGGATGTCGTCCGACAACCTCATCAGCCTCATCTTCAACACCATCTCCGCCACCCAGAATGAGAGCATGAAGCAGCTCACCATCGTCACCATCATTTTCCTCCCCCTGACATTCATCACCGGTTTCTTCGGTCAGAACTTCCCAGAGGAGGGATTTCCAGAGATCAAGAATGGTATCTGGTATTTGTAAGCCTTCTCCTCCCTCTCTTGTCCTCCTTCTCCAAACCGACCCCTCACCCCCCCCTTTATGTTATGTGCCCCCCCCCTCACTCACTCACTCGCTGACCGAATCCAGCTGGTCATGTGCCATCCCCACCGCCTTCGCAACGATCCTCATCCTCATGCGCGACCAACTCTACGCCACCCTCGTCCGTCTCCTCCAGAGAAAGCACATTGGCACCATCCGCAAGAACAAGAAAAGGGCCGCGAGGAAGCACAAGAAGAAGAGCAAGACGACTGTTCAAAGCGACAATAGCGGACCTTATAACAATGTCATGTAAGACCTGTGTCCCCCCAAAATCTATCTTTTCACCCTATCCCTTTCTATGGCTTCTGGTTCATGGGGGGGGGGGGGGGGGGGGGGTTTTTTTTCTTCCTCTTTTTTTTCGATTTCGAGTTTGTTTTTTTTTATTCTTCTATTTCTATCGAGTCTACGGCATATAGCAATGTAATATACCCCGGGTCTTGGAACCCACTTGTCCCGTCTTCATCTCCGTGTTTCTCTCGAGACCTCTTGTCTACTGATAATACCAGTACTGCTGTCAAACCACATAGTACGATATCAATCACCATTCGGCCTCTGTTTTGCACAGCAACTCCATGCTACCAACCCTGGGATACCACAAGTACTTTTTGTGTAATGTGAACCTCTCCATCGGCCTAGTATATCCCGTATCGGGACGGCTTCGATAGGGCAGGCATCGTGGCTTCGAGGCATCTCTGATTATTAACCTTCTATATGACATAAATCTTCTGATGATTCCGTGCTACTCCCAACAAGTCTGGATGCCGAGCCTCCATTCCTAGGAGGCGTGCAGCTTTGACGATGTACGGTTGCGTCGCTACCTTGTGGCGGTTGCACGCCAAGCTGTGAGCATCCAGGAGGGTACGGCTGTGCTGGAGACTTGTCTTGCATGGGCAGACGGACCAGGGTTACAGAGAGGGAGGCCCAGAGCTCTTCAAGTCCCGTGTGGTGTCTGTTCAGGATACGGCGATACATATCGGAGATGGATCTGCACGGTCGCGTTCAATGCCTCCATGGTAAAGCCCAGCCCAAGCGAGTGCTTTTCACCTTTGCGCAGCAGCATTTCCAGCGCAGACCACTCTAGCGCCTCTCAGATGATGCGTAGCGAATGCCATGCTTCTGATGTGATCTCCAAGTAAGGAACGTTTTTCCCCATCTGCGTCCGATGTAGTTTTGACATTGCAGAGCGAAGAAATCACCCTTGGCCACCGCGGAGCGGCCAGACATGAACATGTCGCGGAATCCTATCGAGATCAGCATGCCGAAGGACCACTCATCGAGGAGATATACGAGTGTAGCGAGAGGCGCTTGGGGTGGACAAAGCCAGGACCCCATGGGTGATCTCTCTGTGAGGCCTCGGAAGCTCAAGGTGCTGTAGGAGGGCCGAATGCATGGGGATGAGAATATCTATGAGACAGATAGCAATTCTGGGGAGAAAGTCAGGAAACAAAACGAAACGAAGTGGCGAGAGCCAGAGCTGTCTCTCTCGCCGCCATCTGTGAAGATATACGCGGCGTGGAGGACTGGAGATGCTTCCCAAGTATCGATGTCGACACAGTCGCAAGCTCGAAGAATGGGGCAGAGAGGAGAATAAATGTGATTCTGCAGAGTCGCCTCAGAATAAGAAGAGGGATAGGCCACTACCGGTAGAGTTCTCTGCCGTCAAAGCGCAAGATCAGGAGCATCATATGTACGCTGGCGCAACCTTCCGAACGGACACCAGGAACCATCACCATGTTTCCCGTTTTGGAGGCCGTGACGACAGACCAGCAACGCCTTCCAGTCAATGGAGCCCGCCGGCAGCAACGGTTCCAGCCAGTGGTAAAGAGATAGTCTACCATCTATAACAGCATGATATTGCCCAGGACATGCTGGAAGAAGACCGGCAAGTGAGAGAGCCAACTCTTCGATGGATTGGCCACGTGCATCTAGATATTGACAGTCATGTAAACGAACGATACCCAATAGCGTATCACTACGTACTCGTACTCTTTCAGAGTAGTATCATTACTTCTTAAGTGCTTTCCTATTTAGGAATCGGGTCAGGACGCAGCCGATCGCGGATGGGTCGAATACGAGCAAGCAGTGGAGAAGTCGTTATCAATCAGGAGGCATTTTCCCCTCCAAGCAACAGCATCACCATCCATCACTAGAAATCGGAACCGGAGGATCTGACATAATAATCATAGAGTCGGACCCCCTGTACATCCTCTCCAGGGTTCCGTTCTTTGACCGTTGAACCGTTGAGAGCCGACTCTTCTTCCTCCTCCACAAGCAGTTACCCCACCATTCGCCCCTCCTCTATATAATACTCGTCCGCTCTGGCTAGTAATAATCCCACATTCACTCACGCTCACCCGAAACCTCATCATGGCTTCGGCAGATCACATAGTTTTCCAGGGCGGGAGCATCTTCCAGGCGCAGGTAGACGGAGACAAGACCGGGGAGCCGTCGTTTGCCAGCTGCATGGTTGTCAGGGATGGCGTGATCCAGCATGTGGGCGCGGACAAGGACCCGGCCGTGGTGCAGGCAACGGAGGCGGGGGCCGAGGTACGCAACCTGGGCGGCAGGAAGGTCCTTCCCAGCTTCATAGACGGCCACATCCACCTCCTCCTGCTGGGCCAGTCGCTCACCAAGGTGCCCCTGGACGGGTGCAAGACGCTCGAGGATATCCGGACGGAGATCAGGCGCGCGGCGCGGGAGAACCCGACGGCGACGCGCATCTTCGCGCGCGGGTGGATGCACTCGATGACCCCAGACGGCGTGGACGCCAGCCTGCTCGACGACCTGGACCCGCGGCCCATCTTCGTCGACACAAAGGACCTGCACTCGACGTGGTGCAACAGTGCGGGGCTGGCCGAGGTGTGCGCGACCATGGGCATCGACCCGGACGGCAAGTCGCCCGACCCCTCGGGGGGCACCTTCCAGCGCGACCGCGACGGCAGGCCGAACGGCGTCTTCAACGAGAGCGCCGTCTTCGAGACCATCTGGCCGTTCCTCGCGCAGGTGGCGTCCATGGAGGAGCGCAAGGACGCCATCCGCGCCGCCATCAAGGCCTTCAACTCGGTCGGGTACACGGGCATGATCGACATGGCCATGGACGACACCATCTGGGAGCCGCTCCTGGAGCTGCGCAACACCGAGGGTCTCTCCTCGATGCGCGTGGCGGCGTACTGGCTGATGAAGCCCATCAAGGAGGGGGAGTCCATCGACGCCGTCCTCGCCCAGGTCGACCGCGCTGCCGACCTGGCCCGCCGCCACAGCGACCCGGACTGCCGCGTCGTCGGCATAAAGGTCATCTGCGACGGCATCGTGGACGCGTGCACGGCCTCCCTCAAGGAGCCCTACTCCTCGGGGACACCGACCCCGGGCCCCATCTGGACCGAGGAGGTCCTCCACCCCCTCGTCGCCCGCGCCCAGCACCACGGCCTACAGGTCGCCCTACACGCCATCGGCGACAACACGGTCCGCATGGCCATCGACGTTCTCGAGCGCAATGCCGACCCGGCCCGCCGCCCGCGTATAGAGCACATCGAGCTCGCCTCCGAAGCGGACGCCGCCCGCCTCGGCCGTCTAGGCATCACCGCCTCCGTCCAGCCCGTCCACTCCGACCCGGCCATCCTGCGCGCCTGGCCCCGCCTCATCGGCGAGCACCGCTGCTCCAGGGCTTTCGCCTACCGCGAGTTCGCAGACGGAGGGGCCGTCCTCGCCCTCGGTACCGATGCCCCCACCGCACCTCACGTCCCCATGCCGAACATGTACGTCGCTACTACCCGGCGCTCGTACCGCGAGCACGGCGCTGCCGACGAGCCTGACCCTGTCAACCCACACTTTGCGCTGTCGGTGTGTGAGGCCATCACGGCGGCCACGCACGGCTCGGCGTACTCCTGCTTCGCGGATGCCTGGACGGGGAGTCTACGCGCTGGCCTCAAGGCTGATTTCGTCGTGTGTGATGTCGAGCTGTCGCCTGATCAGCTCGTTCGGGGATTGGTTAAGGAGACGTGGTTTGAGGGGAGGAGGGTGTTTGCTGCTGATGAGTAGATGACTTGACAGTTGGATGGATGTATATGAAACGAGAAATTCCTGGAATCCAATCTCCCCAGCTTCTTCTTTCGAGGCAGATGCACCATGTGCTTGGAACCCAGCCACTCTTACTCTTACTACTAATACCGTAGGACGTGTGGGACGTGTAATGCTGGTGAACTGTTGTACAGTGGCCCAGAATGAGATTACAGAGTATAGACTGCGAGTTACAGTGGTGCTGTACCCCCCATAATAATATGGGGCTTCTAGAAAGCAGCTGCCCCCTCAAGCTGAGCTTCACGCTTCCATCGTCGTCAAACACCAGACGTTCAAGTCGCTTCTGCCTAGCTGGACAAGACTATATTTGTATATTTATATATATATATAAGTCCCTTCTTCTCGAATACCTGTCGTCGGATTCTGTGTTCTCGCACCCTTTTCCCTCTGACAGAGAGGCATCTCGAGCACTGCACCTTCACTCGTCACCCACCACCACTGTGACCATGAATGACGACACTGGCAGAGAAGATGAATCGTTGGCGGGCATGACGGAAGATGAGATCGAAGCAAAGTCAGTACCCATTGGCTGTACAGACGTCCCGAGAACCCCCTCCTCTGACTCTGCACAGGTACCCCAACCGTCCTCGGAATCACTCCAGGACGTTGCGCTTTGCCGACCTGCACCGGGAGCTCTTCAAACCTCTGAACGAGAACAAGAAGCAGCCCGGCAGCGGCGCGGCGCGCAGCAAGGGACCCCATAGAGGCTCAACACCATCTCCGCACGAGCAGCGCCGACGTATAATCGAGCGCTTCATCGATCGATGGCGCAAAGAGGTCGGCGACGACTTCTTCCCCGCCCTGCGCCTGATCTTGCCGGACAAGGATCGCGAGCGCGGCGTCTACGGCCTCAAGGAGAATGCCATCGGCAAGCTTCTCGTCAAGCTGATGAAGATCGCCAGGAACTCCGAGGATGGCTACAACCTGCTACACTGGAAGCTTCCTGGGCAGACGGCCGAGTCGCGCCTGGCGGGAGACTTTGCCGGCCGGTGCTTCGAGGCCATCTCCAAGAGACCCATGCGCATGGAGCCCGGTGATATGACTATCGCCGAGGTCAATGAGCAATTGGACAGACTGTCGGCGTCATCGGGGGAGGCTGAGAACCTGAGTGTCTTCGAGGTTTTCTACAACCGCATGAATGCCGAGGAGATGATGTGGCTGATCCGCATCGTGCTGCGGCAGCTGAAGGTCGGTGCCACGGAGCGCACCATCCTCGACCTCTGGCACCCCGATGCCACAGCCCTCTTCAACGTCTCATCTAGTCTTCTCAGGGTGTGCTGGGAGCTGCCCAACCCCGCCGTCCGGCTGGAGCAGGAAGAGACGGGCATCGCCCCGATGCAGTGCTTCCAGCCCCAGCTCGCACAGTTCCAGCTGTCGGCCTCCTTTCAGCGCATGACGGAGCTGCTGCGCCCTACCGATGACGACCCGGAGTTCTGGATCGAGGAGAAACTTGATGGCGAGCGCATGCAGATGCACATGGTCCAAGATCCGTCGCAGCCGGGTGGCCGGCGGTTCGGTTTCTGGTCCAGAAAGGCGAAAGACTACACGTACCTCTACGGACACGGGCTTCAAGATGCCAACTCTAGCCTGACGCGCCACCTCGAGAGCGCATTCGCACCTGGTGTGCGCAACATCATCCTGGACGGCGAGATGATTGAGTGGGACATGGGCGTAGACAAGATTGTGCCGTTTGGCACGCTCAAGACGGCCGCCATCTCTGAGCAGCAGATGCGCTCCACGTCGGACGCCACGGGCCGCCGTCCGCTCCTCCGCGTCTTCGACATCCTCTACCTCAACGACAAGCAGCTGACGCAATACACGCTGCGGGACCGGCATCGCGCACTGGACAAGGCCGTCAAGCCGGTGCACAGGCGTCTCGAGATCCACAGACACTCCATCGCCACGTCTCCGGATGCCATAGAGCCGCAGCTGCGCGACGTCGTGGCCAACGCCTCGGAGGGCCTGGTGCTCAAGAACCCGCGGTCTATGTACCGCCTCAACAGCCGCAACGATGACTGGTTAAAGGTGAAGCCAGAGTACATGGACGAGTTTGGCGAGTCTCTCGACTGCGTCATCATAGGCGGTTACTACGGCTCCGGAAAGCGGGGCGGCACGCTCTCGAGCTTCCTGTGCGGTCTGCGTGCGTCGCAGAACCACATCCAGGCAGGTGCCGACCCGGAGAAGTGCTTCAGCTTCTTCAAAGTCGGCGGCGGCTTTCGCGCGGAGGACTACGCGGAGATTAGACACCGCACCGAGGGTAAATGGGTAGACTGGGATGCCAAGAACCCGCCCTCGCAGTACATCGAGCTGGGCGGTGGCGAGGCAAAGCAATACGAACGACCAGATGTGTGGATTCGGCCGCGGGACTCGCTGGTCTTGTCGGTCAAGGCCGCCAGCGTCGGGATAAGCGACCAGTTTGCGCGGGGCTTCACGCTGCGGTTCCCGCGCTTCAGACGCCTCCGGACCGACCGCTCCTGGGACACGGCCCTGTCATTAGAGGAGTTCCACGACCTTCAGAAGCGGATGGAAGAGGAATCCAAGGAAAAGGCCATGACTGTCGAGGACAGGAAGTGGCGGCGGAGCACAAAGCGTGCCAAGAGGGAGCTCGTGATTGCCGGGGAGGACACCACTGCAGAGGCACTCGTCAAGTTTGCCGGCGATGACAAGACCAAGATCTTTGCCGGCCTCGAATTCTGCGTCTTATCCGAGTCAACTCAGAAGCCATTCAAAAAGACCAAAGCACAGCTCGAGTCCCTCATCAAGGAGCACGGCGGAAGCATATCGCAACGCGCCGCACCAGACACACGCATGGTCATCATCGCCGAGAAAAAGGTTGTCAGGGTGGCCAGTCTGATCAAGAGCGGACCGGTGGACATAATCCTCCCCCGCTGGATCCAAGACTGCCTCGAGGACGGTAGCACGTACACGGCCCCCCTACCATTCGAGCCCCGGCATCTGCTTCACGCCACAGATACCCTGCGAGCTCTGTCGGAGGAAAACACGGACCGGTTTGGCGACAGCTACGCGCGCAACGTGACCCTCGACGAACTAAGGGCTATAGTCGACGAGATGCCCAAGTTCGAGGACCCCGAGACCTTCAGCAAGGACCAGTTCCTGGAGGAGTTGGAGGAGCGGGGTCGCGGGCTGCGCAATGACGGTTCTCGGCTGAGGGGATTCCTGTTCCAGAAATGTGCCGTGCACATGCGCGTCGGAACGGGGGACATGGACAAGATGAGGGCTCGGGAGCTACGGTACCGCATCCGGTTCGGCGGAGGGGTGTGTGCTGAGAGCGTCGAGGATGAGGGAGTGACGCATGTTGTCATCGTGGCGGGTGGTGGTGCCGGGGCTCTGGCCGAAGATGTGCGCGGTCAAGTAGCCATGCGGCAGAGGGTGCCGAGAGTGGTGGACGGGAAGTGGATAGATGAGTGTTGGAGGGAGAAGACGCTGGTGGACGAAGAGCAGTATGCTGTCCTGTAGTCTGTTTCAAGCGAGTATATTATCAGATTAAGAAGAATGAGCGTATCTCGTCTACTTCCCCAGCGTCAGAAACAACCTGTCGCCGACATCACCAAGTCCAGGCTTCAGCATCCCCTCGGGCGTAATCTCCCCGTCCACGCCGGCGACCCAGATCTCCGTCCCGTCAGACCACTCCTCGGCGACACGGATGATACCCTCGTGCGCACCCAGCACGCTGAGCACAACGATACGCTCGGCGCCCCACTCGCGCAGGGTGGCGACGGCGGCAGCGCATGTGTTCCCCGTCGCGATGATGGGGTCGACGATGATGGCCAAGGCGCTGGGACCCTGGGCGTCGTCGCCGTCGGCGCTACCGCTTCTGGAGGTGACCGCATGCTGGGGCAGGTTGTTGTAATATTCTACCGGTTGGAGGGTCGTGGTCTCACGATACATTCCTAGGTGATGAACTGGTACTGGAGAGGGGAGGATTGTCTGGACGCCTTTTTTTGGGGGGGGGAGGGGGGGGGAGGGGAGAGGTGAGTGTTAGTGGAAGGTGTTTAGGAAGGCAAAAGGTGGGGAGAAGGAGAAGAAGCTTACCCTCTACCATGGCTAGACCGGATCGTAGAATGGGTACGATGGATATCGTTCCAGGGGAGACGGTGGTGGTGGTATATTCGAACCCGAGGGGGGTCTTGTCCTTTGGCCCTTGTGTGGGGGAGAGAGCCCTGGCCAGAGACTCGGATGACAGGAGGAGAGTGATCTCGTGGATCAGGGTCTTGACATCGCGCGCTGTGGTTGATTGGGACCGGAGCTGACTGAGCTTGGCCTGGATGCTCGGGTGGGTTGAGACGTTGACGTTGGGCGGGAGTGACGGCATCGTGAGATGTGGGGGGGTTGTGTGTGTATGTAATGTGTGGTGGGGGGTGGGGATTTGATCTAGACAAAAGTTTGATCTATAGTGGAGTAATATTGAATCGAGGGGTGGGGGTTCAATAGAGATTGAAATGGATTCCGATGTATTCTAGAGAGAGAATCGTCATGCTCAAAAGGGGCGCAGGAAGGAAGAAGGAAAAGAAAGAAAAGAAGGGGTTGGAAAGGTGAGGTTGGGTGAGTTCGGTTGGGCGGTGGGGAGCTTGGGTATCACGGCCGTTTGTTAACAGGGGACGGTGACGCGGGGTGACGACGGGGGACGGTAGAGATTAGATAAGAGGTGGGGGGCAGTTTGGGGCAGTTTCCAACCAAGCTCGGATGGGAAGTGCCAGGTCAAGTACATGTGTCACTGTCGCAGGCCCTGAAGCCCGAAAATGGTTGCCCCAGGCACCACTTCTTTTCAACCCCCCAGAGCACCTCTCGTGTATTACCGACCAGGGTGATGATGGGTGATGATGTAATAACTAATATAGTATTCGATACATCCTCCCAGAGTCCAGTGTATTAATCAACACCAGCGCTCCTCGGCGGCTACTCTCAACCTAACCCAGCAGGAAACGGTCCTGCGGGAAAGGAGGGGAGGGGAGAGCGCACGGAAAGAATGAAAAAGAACTGAGTGTGACGACTTGTAACATCTTGACGGCTGGCTGATCCCGCGCCTATGCCTATGATGATTTGCAGAAAGTCTGGGTTTCACTATTATCATCACGCCTCCCGCCCCAAAAGGGGGCATCTATCCTCCTACGGTGGGCCTAGGTCCTGTTACCATCAACACGATCGACAGCAATAACAAGGGCGGCAGCAGCCGCAGCAGCAGCAGCAGCAGCATTCAACCCTCACGCTGTCCCACCACCGTCATCGACGAGTTCCAGTCACAGCGCCCACTCTACCGATAGCCGCAACATTGATGGCACTGGCCTTGACTAGAACATCTCGAATCCGCATGCGCGACCGCCGGGTCCTACAGCACTGTCCTGCAGTGAAGCCTTCGATTACGCGTAGTTCGTGGGAACGCGTGCGCATGATAATATCACTACTCAGCCCGCCCTGCATGCTCACTGCAGCAGCCACGAGGAATGCCACTCACTGCCAGCGAAGCGGCGGTGGAGAGAGAGAAGACCTAACTGAAATCCACGCCCGATGCGCGCCCGATGCGCACCCGACGGCTGCCAAGCCGAAAAGTGACGCATATCGTCCTCGAATATGCGTAGGCTTTACCTTCTACACGCTGCTACGTAGCGTGATTCACCTCAGGCTCGCAGGAGTGTACGGCCTAGATGATGAGTTCCCGCGGTATTTTTCGTTTCAGAAGCTGCTATGCGAAGCCTCCGCACCTGCCTGCCATTACATAGACGCATCAATCAGAAGACTAGCGATGAAAGCGTCTGACCGACGCGCGTTTCGCAGCAATTTTGAGGGGCCTCGGTCACGCTCGCCGTCATCCCATGCCCTCCTGTCGCTAGGCAGTCTCGCTTTCATGCGGCCCGGAAGCAGCACTCTAGAGTAGCGAGAGCTTCCGAGACTCGTTGCCGGGCTTGCCTTGCTGACTAGACCGAGGGCTTCGGGCCTGTTGATGGAGGCGTGGTCGAAATCAATCTTCATGACGCGTTGCAGCTCGCGATTCCATGTCAGGTTACCATTGCTTACATCGTCTCGATCGACAAGGCCGTGGGCTCTCAGCTCCTGAAGAGTGCGCTCCGACTCCCGCTCGAGGTCGACGTGACCTTTCTTAGCGAGCCATTGAGTGCTTCGAGCGTGTAGTCCCAGACCCGCAAATGACATCAGAAGCATATGCGTCACGAGCGCGCCGTTGTCCATGGGATATGGTAGGAGTAGCGGCACTAAGCCGAGGCATACTGGTATCGTCGACCCCTGCTGCTCTACGAGACCCTCGTATACGCCGACCTCACGTAGTAGCCGATAGCTGTTCCACTCCTCTACTCCCTTAGCCACAAATGTGTACCCGTACCCCGTGGCGGTGATCTTGAAGAGACAGCCGATCGCACCCGCTAGACCTCGAGATAGCAGGCAGTCGCAGTCCTGCTCAGCGTTGGACAGGAGCTGTAGCTGCACTAGTTCGCGGAGCTCGTCTGGTGTTAACGGATGCTTGATCGACGGCCGCCAGGACCTGGAATCGCGCTGTGCCGCTTGTATGTGTAGCAGGAGATTGGGGCAGCTAGCATCCATCTCTTCGCCGTGTATGAGCCCACGTAGGCATCCCTGGGTGCAGAAGGGCCGGATAGGACGGAACGTCGACGGGTCACGCCAGTTAGGCCGCGTCGGTTTTGTCGGCTTATTCCCTTTAACGTCCCACCTCCGTAGGCCGGATTTTCCTGGCCGCTGGGGCTGCGTAGGTTGATCGCCGCCACGTTTCCTCTTCGCTCCTGCGCGCTTCTGACCGTCATCGGCGTCCGACATGTTCCATTGCTTCTTGAGCGGCGAGCTATGTCGGCGACGTCCTCTAGCCGGCATGCCCAAGTTGCTCGATGTAGAGCGTGCGTCGTCGTCGTCGCCGTCGTCCCTGGAGCTGTCGTCATCGGCGCTGTCTTGGTCACTGTCGTCGCGGCGACGCCGTTTGCGTGACACCGAGCTGCCTCCGGGGCTTGATGCTGCCGTGCTAGAGGCCGGCAGTTGGGGGAAGTGAGTCAGCTGGGAAAGATTGAAGTCACGCTGACGCACTTGGCTAGGTGCCGTTTCAAGTGCCATCAGAGTGATGGCCGAGAGCATCGACACAGCAAGGCGCGCCCGCTCATCATCCGACAGCTGCCTGTCATCCCCTGCCTCGGCGACGTACTGGGGGAAGAGGCGTGTATGATATAGAAGAGTAGTCGGGTCTTCCGGCCGCACACGTAAGAAGGTGAGGGTTTCGCCAGTAGCCATATATCCAAACTCCACGCCTGACGAGGCCATGTAGTGGAACGCTTGGGTCAGTGCGCGGGCGTAGAAGACTTGACCAGGGGCGCCCCTTTCGGCTTGACGGACCGCGTCTTCCTGCTCAGTCCCCGTCGCTTGTCTAGAGGCGACGCGGGCCAATTGCACCATGTAGTCCTCGGGTATGGCGTAGCTCGCCACGGCTGTCGTACGTAGCCGATGGAAGGCTTTGTGCTCTGATAGACTGATGCGATAGACGTTATGCGAAGAGCCATCGGCTAAGATGTCCCCGATAAATGAATGGTGCGTGGCATCGACGTCGTCATCCGGGCCGCCTATACCTGCAGGCAGGGCTATAGCATTGGTCGCAAGCACATAGCAGTCGGGCTGCGTCTTGGGTGGCGGCCTAGCAGCAGCCTGGGTCCCGGGCTCACCACCATCCTCGCTCATGGCCGAAGTCTGCGCCGAGCCCTTGCCCCATCCAGAGGTATAGTTGTCGAAGAAGACTTTCTTCTGCTGGCCACAAGCTTCGAGGTACGCGTTGATGATTCTCTGGACGGGCATCTGGAGAGTGTCGTGGATGAACTGGGACGTCTTCATCTCGTTGAGAAATGCTTCTGACCCTAAGAATTCGAGGGGCAGTCTAATCTGAATCTGCTCAGCGAGGGCGCGCATATTGATGACGGACGGGAAGACGCGTTTGTCACTGAGAGCTGCCTGAATGCGGGAAAAGGATTGCCGATATATATCGTCGAATTCGGACCATAGGCGCATCGTATGCGGATAGTATTTGCCTACAATGCTTGTTCGGCCCGATGTTGTTACCCTAGACTCTTCTCCCTCTGATAGCGTCTGAGGCCGGGATTTCGGCTGGGGGGGGGCTAGGCGTCTGAGGCTGAAGTTGAGGCCATGGATGCACTGAACATATCCATCGAGATCCTGGTCTTGATGCTGTTAGTAGAGGGGCTTAGCAGAGGGGTGAGTTCTGATGTTGTAGAAGCCATCCATACCAAGCTGCACGGCATCCCTTTCTTTCAGCTCTTCCCGAAGGGCGACGGCGACGGCTTCTGCATCACGCCGTTGCTGGTGCTCTTCCTCTCTGCGCCGCTGCTCTTCCTCTCTGTGCCGCTGCTCTTCCTCTCTGCGCCGCTGCTGTTCCTTTTCGCGTCGCTCTGCATCTTCTCGGAGTCGCTGCTGTTCCTTTTCGCGTCGCTCTGCATCTTCCCGGAGTCGCTGCTGTTCCTTTTCGCGCTGTTCTGCAGCCCTGAGCAGCTGTCTTAGCTCTTGTAGTTCCTCCTGTGGGTCTCGGTCCATGGTAGATCAACCGCCAGTTTGTAGTTGAGAGAAAGGGTGGGTTGTAAAAGGTGAGATGGGAGAGTGTTGATGATCGTGAAGATTGGCATGCGTGAGGATTACGGCCCCACCCGTCGTTGCAGGCAGCAGGGGGGCAGTTTATTCCGGAGTGCTGTGACTTCGTAGTTCGAGCGCGCCAATAGGTAAACGTGCGCCAAACTTCAAGCTCGACTCCTAGGACGCAATTACGTGAGCTGCGCGCTGAGCACGAAAGACCATGCCCCGTGTGCCGCTCTCCGGTACAGTATTTCTTATACCTGGTCAGTGTTGAAGCAGCAGTCGGGAGAGCGTGTTGTGGCAGAACCGTTGGCGTCTTCACAAGAGAAGGGATACCTGAGGGAGAGAAGCTGGAGTACATCTAGAGCCGTGAAGGTGGTGCCGGGCCTTAGCCAGGGTGTCAGACTCTACGGGGCGGAATAACGTCGATTATTCGGGCTGTCTGAATTGGTTGATTTATCCGGGAATGATCCGACTAATGGTTCGTCACAAGAAGGGGAAAAGTGCTCGAGTTACTGATGTGTGTTGGTTGTTATTCTCCGATCTACGAGGGACAAGGTGCGTTGTTTCTGTTCCTTTGGTGTAGGTCATCAGAACGGGACGATGCTCCTTATCGACAAGTTGGAGGACATCAGAGACCGGGTTCCCCCCCGTCTGCGACGCACGAAATGATACGGGAGATCGCCATTGCTTTCGCGCGACTCGTCTTCGTTTGCCCCACCACAACGTCATTTCCCCCATCAGTACCAAACATTACTTCCATCACCCCTCTGACTACGAGTACACCCAATGTCTTTTCTGTTGGACGATTTCTCAGGGTGCAGGTTGACAAGACGATGCAGGCCTGCGCTCCTCGCGACAGTGGCTCCCCCCCGAGTGCTGTAGAGACTGTCAACGAGGGGGGGGGCTGCAGACACCACAGCCTCGAGGAGCCAGGACAAGATGCCGTCGACGAAGAGCAGCAGCCGCCAGCTCGCGCTGCTGACACGACGACGAGACGATCAGCATCCAAGCCGCCCACGCAACTGTACACGATATCGTACCTCATCCTCTTCTCCATAATCGGCACCCTCGCGCGTGTCGGCCTCAAGGCCCTGACCGCTTACCCCGGCGCGCCCATCAGCTTCACCGTCATCTGGGCCAATTTCGGCGGGTGCATCGTCATGGGCTTCCTATCCGAGGACCAGATGCTCTTCAGCCAGCACGACTACCGCGACGGCAGAAGCGGCAGCAGCGGCAGCAGGAGCAACGGCAAGAAGAAGAAGAAGAAGGTGGACGAGGAGACGGGTCCTCCCATGATGGCGGTTGCGGCTGCTGAGAAGAAGGCCCACATGGCGCTCAAGAAGACGATTCCGCTGTACATCGGTCTGGCCACCGGCTTCTGCGGCAGCTTCACCAGCTTCTCGTCATACATTGCCGACGCATTCTTCGCCATATCCGACGACCTCCCCACTGCCGGCGTCTCGGGGACGGCCCCCCGCCGCGGCGGCGGCGACTCCCTCATGGCGCTGCTGGCCGTCGTCATCTCCACGGCCTCCCTGTCCATCTCGGGCCTGTTCCTGGGCGCACACCTGGCCACCGGCCTGGACCCGTGGACGCCGTCGCTGCGGTACTCGCGCACCCACCGCGTGCTGGACCCGCTGGCCGTCTTTCTCGGGTGGGGCGCGTGGATCGGCGCCGTCTTCCTCGCCGTCTTCCCGCCGCACGATGTCTGGCGCGGCCGCGTCGTCTTCTCCCTCGTCTTCGCTCCGCCCGGCTGTCTCGCGCGCTTCTACCTCTCTGCCCGTCTGAATGCTCGAATACCGTCTTTCCCGCTCGGCACCTTCTGCGCGAATATCCTGGGTACGGCCATCCTCGGCATGGCCTGGGATATCGCCCACGTGCCTGTCGGTGGCGTCGTCGGGTGCCAGGTCCTGCAGGGCGTCGAGGATGGCTTCTGCGGGTGTCTGACTACCGTGTCTACATGGGGGGCTGAGCTTATCACCCTCCGGAGGAGGCACTCATATGTATATGGCTCTACGAGTGTCGCCGCTGCTCTTGCTGTCATGATTGCCATCATGGGCGGTCTGAGGTGGAGTCATGGGTTTCAGGGCTTGCTTTGTTCTACCTGATAAGCACACTGCAGCTACACGACTCTAGCAGGTAGATGATAATGCCAATGCTACCCATCGGAAGAGGGGCGTTTCAGGACATAGTTATAGCCGCTATCGGTAGCAAAAAAAAAAGGGGGACTCTATTATTGAATATAGACTAGCACCGCACCCCTTCCCTCTTGGCAAGCTAATACCTTTTATAGTAATAGTATCATGAATCTTTTCGTGATAATGCCATTATAGTCGTGCAAATACTACGAGGTTGTAAGAAGTAGTCGGTTTTCATACAACTGACAAGGATTTCTTATATTAGGATTACATCATATCGTTAAACCCCCGGGGTGCTGTGATTATACTCGTCTGGAGTAGTAGGGTCACGTTGACCTCAAAACTAGTCGCTATTATCATCCCTTTCCTCTTCCTCTTCAACGACCTGGAAAACGACCTCTACAATGGGTCTTTCTTCATTACTATTATAGTCATACTGACCAATTCAAATCTAAATCCCACTGCTACTGGTCTTCCAGTTCCGGGTAGTACCGGAATATGCCATTGCTGTACGGTTGCCTCCTACTGCTGGCCAGGTAAGCCTTGATGTTGGGGCGGGTTTTGACGGCGTCGTACAGCTCAAAGACGGCATTGTACTGACCCGAGTCCTTGAGCTTAGCCATCGTCTTAGGGAATGCGAATTGTGTGCCATCGATGCACTTGTAGTATGTCAGCTACATTGTCAAGAGCGGAGAGGAACGATGCAGGTGATGGGGCGTTATATATATATATATATATAGCATACCAGGAACAGGACAAGATCGACATAAGTCAGGGTCCCGCCGTACATCCAGGGCCCGTCACCGCTGGCTGGGGAGTCGATGACCCGCTGCGCGTAGCCCAGGTACTTTGGGAGCCTCTCAGACAGGAAGTAGCGCGTACGCTTCTTGGCCTCGGGGATCTGGTCCTCGTACGCGAGGCTCACAGCGGTGGGGTGGTGGGTGTCGTGCAGCTCGTCGACGAAGCCGTCCAGGAGGGTCGAGGCGATGCCGTTGAGGTGGTAGGGTGCTACCGCGGTCGCGTTCACGGCCCGGGAGCCGTCCAGCCCGATCCGGGGCGCCAGGTACATGAGTATGTTGGCCGTCTGGCTGATGAGCACGTCGTCGTGCCGGAGGACGGGGACGGCCAGGACAGGCGGGTTCATCCCCGCGCTGGGCGGGCTGACCTCCGTCGTCGTCGACATCACCTCGTCCACGACGGTTCCTGGATCTGCGGTCTGGGCCATGTCGGTGAAGGGGGTGCCCGATTCCTCGAAGGCGAGGCGGATGAATTCGCCGCGGCCAGGGATGGTGGGCCAGTAGAGGAGTTGGTAGGACATTGCGGATACGCGATGTGCTTAGAGGATGAAAGGGGTTTGCTTTTATATTGTATGATAGATTAGAGTGTGTATATTGTCAGTTGAGTACTAGTATTTGAACTTCTTGGAGATGTCTCGTTCGTGGGGTTTGACGTCAATGTGTTGTTGGTGGGCCGGCGTTGGACGTCACCAGGGTGGCCAAATTTGTCACAACGTCATTACTGTAATATCCGGTGGGCGTGGACAGAGGGAAGGAACGAGATGCGTTGTTGCCGCGTTGGTGAATTCTTCCTATTTTCTTCAAACCGATCATGCTACCCAATAAATACAGCAGTGATATCAACACCTCTGCGACAACAACTGCTCTCTTCTCTCTCTATCCTTGCATACCCCGTCTCTCACAATGACAAGGTATCGATGCACCACGCGGGGAGGACGTCGGCAAGGTCGGCGCTACCCCACTGCGCAGCCGGATAGCTATCCGGGCACGGACAGGGGAGAAGCTGCTGATAGCTACGAGTACCAAGAGCAAACATCAGGTGGATTCAGCGAGGACAAGGCCAGGTTTATCTATCAATTCGACCAACAGAAAGTCCCGGTACCAATCGGCCCCTCCCGCTTGTACCAAAACATTCATGATATGGCGTGCTAATGACAGCATCTACGAGTACGAGGTTTACCTGCCTGTTGCGTCGCAGCTCTCATCGCCAGTTTCTCCACAGCGTGGGGCGGCCGTCAATCAGGACCCATGTCTCCCATCCGCGACCGCAGCTTATCGCCTACATTACCTGGCACCTCTTCCCCCTCGCTGCATTCACTCTTTCTTCCTCTCATCGTCATTTTCTGCCTTTCTGTCCTTCCTTTTCTGAAATTCTCTGCTACGCTGGACACTGTACGCACACCGGTGAAATCTGGTACCTAGTACGGAGAGGGGCGACATCACAATGGGTGACAAGACGGGACTGCCGTCATATGCTGATGCGGCATCGGCGTCACCTCCCCTATCAGTCCGACTTTCGCACGTGCGCCGTCGTGGACGCGTACTCTACCGCTCACGCACGGCCAGACTTCTCATAATTGCCTGCGTGGCTCTCGTGACTCTCGCCCAATGGAAGCAGCTCTGGCACACGGAGCGTCGCGCCCCCCATCTGTCGCTCGAGAAGCTCAACGCCGACTTCGAGACGTGCAAGAAGCTGCAAGTCAAGCCCAAGGACCCAATCGGTCTCGGACGTGAGAAGAACTCTCGCTACGTCGATGGAGGAAAGCCCACGCTTATCAAGAACGCCACCATATGGGTCGGCGAGCCCGTTGCCGGCACTAGCGACGAGGATGCCCGCGCCGGACGCGGCTGGGAGTGGACGCGGAGCGACGTGCTGCTGGAGCGTGGTCTCATCACGCAGGTCGGCGAGTCCCTATCTACCAGCCGGCTGCCGGCAGACACGGTCGTCTACGATGCCGAGGGCCGCCAGCTCACGAGCGGCATCATCGATATGCACAGCCATGCGGGCGTCATGTCGCTGCCCTTTCTCAAGGGCTACGACGACACCAACGAGATGTCGGACAACCTGACTCCCTGGGCTCGCTCCAAGGACGGCCTGTTCCCCCTCGACCCGCAGATCCAGGTCATCAAGTCGGGTGGCGTCACCACGTCGCTCGTCCTGCCCGGCTCCGGCAACAGCATCGGTGGCGAGGCCTATGTCATCAAGCACGCTGTCGGCAAGGACGATGGGCGCCCCGAGCTCAGCTTCGATGATCTGCTGGCTGATCCCGACCACACCTGGCGCTACATGAAAATGGCCTGTGGCGAGAATCCCAAGCGCGTCCACGGCAGTCGGACGACTAGGCCTCTTACGCGTATGGGCGAGAGCTACGACTTCCGCCACGCCTTTGAACAGGCGCGCGACGTCGTCCGCCGCCAGGATGACTGGTGCGCCAAGGCCGAGGCCCTGGGTGTCGAAAGCGTGAATGATTACCTGCCTCAGGAGATCGCCTGGGAGTCTCTGGCCGCTGCCATGCGTGGTCAGGTTCACATCAACACTCACTGCTACACGATCCCCGATCTCGAAGCCATGGTCGACCACACCAACGAGTTTTCGTTTCCCATCCGTGCCTTCCATCACGCCCACCAAACCTACCTTGTTCCCGAGGTCAGTCCACTCCAATACATCCGGCAGGAGCCCGATTTCTCGTTACTGACGCATCGGATCTAGATCTTGAAGCGCACTTGGGGCGGCCGCCCGCCATCCTCAGCCCTGTTTGCCGACAACATGTACTACAAGACCGAGTCCTACGTCGGCTCACCCGCGGCTGGGAAGTACCTCTACGACGCAGGGCTCACACCCGTCTACGTCAGCGATAACCCGGTCCTCAATGCCCAACACGTAGTCTTCGAAGCTGCCAAGGCCTACCACTATGGCCTGCCCTACCATGCTGCCCTGTCCGGTGTCACCTCGGCGCCGGCAGATGAGCTCGGCCTGGGTAACCGTCTAGGAAAGATCAAGCCGGGCTTTGATGCCGACATTGTCGTCTGGGACAGCGACCCTCTCAGCGTGGGTGCGGCCCCGGTCCAGGTATGGATCGACGGCATCGCGCAGTATGAGGATCCCGTCGTGCTGTCCAAGCCTCTCAGCAAGCCCGTGGTTCCCGACACCTCGCTCGAGCCGCTGGACGAGGAGCCCGCCGAGGTCGCCGACGCAGTCTTTACCGGCGTGACGAAGGTCCTGCTGGAGGGATACGAGGAAGCTGCTTCCGAGACGGGAGAGCCGTTCAACGTGGCCATCTCCGGCGGCCGCATTGCCTGCGTCGGCACCTGCCGGGCCGAGATCGAGGCGGCCACCAGCGCGGGTACCAGGGCCGTCGATCTCAAGAATGGCTACCTGCACAGGGCCTACGTTGGCGTTGGCGGGACGCTCGGCCTGAACGAGATCGACGCCGAGTCGGACACGGACAACGGCGGCAACCCGACCACATTTTCCCGGGCAGTCGACGGTCTCCTCCTAGGCAGCAAGAAATTGACGGTGGCGTTCCAGGCTGGCGTCACACGAGCCATCTCGGCCCCCAAGTTCAGCGGCCAGGCCACATACCATGGCACCAGCGTAGGCTTCGTCACCAAGGCCAAGAACGGGCTGCAGGCCGGGGCCATATTTGCCGAGGACGTCGCGGTGCACTACACGTACGGACTGGCGGTGCGCTCGCACGACAAGAGCTACTCGGCTGCTTTCGGTGAGCTGCGCCAGAAACTACTGCAGGCGGCGACTGCCAAGACGACGGAAACGACTCCCTATTCTGAGGCGAGCTATCTCAGCAAGGTGCTGTCATCCGAGGCAACGCTAGCCCTGGGTCTCGACAGCGCCGACGGCATCTCCACGGTCCTGCGCATCAAGAAGGAGGTTGAGGAGCTGCACTCTGTCAAGCTCAGGCTGGCCATCATCGGCGGAGCAGAGGCCTATCTGCTAGCCGAGGAGCTGGCGGCAGCCGAAGTGGGCGTCATCCTCTCCCCGCTCCTATCGGACGGCGACACGTGGGACGCGCGTCGAGCCCTCACGGGGGCGCCGCTCACCAACGGAACGGGTGTCGACGTGCTGCTCGACGCGGGCGTCCGCGTGGCCATCGGTCTGCACGAGGACTGGCAGGTGCGCGATCTGGCGTGGTCGGCGGGGACGGCGTACCGCAACGGCGGAGGGAGGCTGGATGAGAAGGCTGCGCTGGACTTGGTGAGCGAAAATGTGTTGGATATTCTGGGTGCCGACGGAAGGGGGAACAGCCACTTTATCGTGAGCGAGGGCAGTCCACTAGAGATTGGATCTCGTGTTCGGGCCGTCGGAAGTGGTGATGGGCTTGTCTCATTATTCGTGTAACGGCTTAACAATCACTGAATAATCCCATGCGGCTTCCACCAGGTGGATGGCTATTTCTGTGCCAGGAGCGCTGACTGAACCGTAGATAGACTGGCGTTTTCTTACGTGATGTGCCGTGAGGCCGGTGGGAGGGGGGGGGGGGGGGGGGGGGGGGGGGGGGCGGGGGACTGGCGGGAGGCTTGACGCCATCGCAACTACTTTAGTCGAGACTCCAATATTCTGGATCGGTTCGATGCACAGGCCTGCATTACAAAGAAACCAGGGTCCGGTCAGCCGTCGATTTGAATGGATCGAAGCCATAAATACCTGTCTGTCCGTCAACCAGTCTCCGAGTCCAAGAGAAAGCGGCAGAGAAGAAGGAGAAGGAAAGAAGAAAAAGAGGGAGCCGGATTCCATCCAATCAGTGGTATGCGACTTTGGTTATCCCTCGGAGCTGTGATAGGAGCAGCAGCATCGTGGGCATATTCCCGATTCTACCAGACCAGCACCGACGGCGAAGTCAAGATGAGCAAACTAGCACCCGTCATTGCTCTTTCTCATGGTGGAGGTATGTTTTTTTTTTAAAAAAAAAAAAAAAGAAAAGAAAAGAAAAAAAGAAAAAAATTCTTTGTTTTATTTTCTTCTCCCCNCCCCCCCCCCAAAAAAAAAAAAAAACCAAACCAAACCAAACCAAACCTTTACTCCCTCTTACTTCACTCTACCGAAAGGGCACGATAAACTTATCCTGACCTGACACAAAATTGCCCAGGTCCCATGCCCCTCCTAAGCGACCCGAGCCACCGCTTCATCGTCCAGTCCCTCCAAGAGCGGGTTCCCAAGATCCTATCCCTGCACGGGACGGACCGACCGCGGGCCATCCTCCTCGTGACGGCGCACTGGACTACGGCGTCGCCCACCGTCACGAGCGGCCGCAATCCGGACCTGATCTATGACTACTACGGCTTCCCGCCCGAGTCGTACGAGATCGAGTACCCGGCCCGCGGAGAGCCCGAGGTGGCGGCCGAGGTGGCGGCGGCCATGCAGGCCGAGGGGCTGGAGGGCGTGCGGCAGGACGCGGACCGGGGGTGGGACCACGGGGTGTTCGTGCCGCTGAAGCTGGTGGAGCCAGACGCCGGGTCGATTCCGCCCATCGTGCAGGTGTCAGTCCTGGCGGGCGAGGACCCGGTCCTGCACCTCCGCATGGGGAGGGCGCTCCGCGGCCTGAGGGCACGGGGCGTGGCCGTCGTCGGGTCCGGCTTCGCGTCCTTCCACAACCTGAGGCTCATGATGAGCGCCATGGCGTCGTCCTCCCCGGACCCGGACCTGCTCGAGACGTCCCGCCGATGGAACGAGGCGGTCACGGCCGCCGTGTCGCTGCCGCGCGAGCCTGACAGGTGGGACGCCCTCGCCCGATGGAGGGACATGCCCGGCGGCAAGGTGATGCACCCGCCCCGTCGGGGGGAACACTTCCTCCCCCTCCTCGTCTGCGCCGGCGCGGCCAGCGACGGCGAGCAGGCTGGTTTCTACAAGGATCTGTTTGCGGGCTTCGAGATATATACGTATTATTGGGCCGATGTCGATGTTTGATGTTGGATTGGATGGTGCAAGGATTCCCTGGTTCTTGGTAGAGGAAATGGAGAGGGTTACATGTATCAGAGAATATATATATAGATGAATATAAAAGGGTCGGCTGAGGTCAGAGGACTGCAAATTATCGTTTCATCACGTACATGTATCGTGACTTTTACAAGCACAATGCCAGTCTTGATTGTTATCATCGAGGAACGATGTCAGCATGACTCTCTGAGCTAGTCTATCTTTTTTTCTCTCTCGCTTCCCGCTCCCCCGTGACTCATTAAAATGATACTATGCAGAGTACCTGTCAATTTTTCCTCCGGTAACTTTCTACTAAGCAGAGTACAGAGTACACGTCATCTACCAGAGAAACGTCCCGGCATTCCTGGTGACCATGAGCTCCGTCTCGTCGTCCCTCCTGCCCAGGAGGATATCCAAGATACCCTGGACGCCGGTGGACGGGTCGCCGGCGCCGGCGGCAGCCACGGCAGCCGGGCCGCCGACGGTGTCCAGGTTGGTGGCCACGTATCCGGGGCAGTAGGACCAGGTCTCTGCCCGGCCGCGGAAGCGCACGGCGTAGCAGGCCGTCATCATGTTGACGGCTGCCTTGGACCGGACGGGAGGGCTGGTGGACCTGAAGCTCCGAGAAGGCCGTCGACGCCTTGGCCGCGGTGCGCGCGCTGATGATGACGTGGCAGGAAGGTGAGGTGCGGATGAGGAGGGAGGCTGTCTCGAAACCGATGCCCGAGTTGCCGCCCTTTATATAAGATCATCCCTCCCTCTCTCCTCGTAGCAGATGCTCTAGGGTTATGTGGAGAGGGGAGAGGTAAAAAGAAGAAAAAGAAGAAAAAAGGGGGAGGGGGGGGCAGGGGGGCTTGCCGGTTATGAGGATGATGGTCTTGTCAGACATCATGGTCTATGGTCTAGAAATAGAGAGGGAGAGAGAGGTTGTTGTCAGTCGTGGTTGTGGTCTGTCCCGTCTTCTGAGAAATGATGGATGATGGTGCTCCCAGCAACGTCTCGAAATCACAGCACACCCCACCGCCGTCTCTCTTTATATGACAAGTACTTGAAAGCGCCCTGCCGATCTGCCATACCGGTATGGGTATCACTCTGGACTTGCATCGCGGTCGGTATGTATTGCCAAGCACATTCGCACGTAATGATATTCGGTGATCCTCATGATCAATGTGGAAGGGTTGGGACATCATGACGGCCGTTGCCTAACCGGGATACGGTCAGAATCCAGTTTGGCAGCTTGGCACCGTGCCGGCGAGGGGGCATCGGATCAGCACGGGCTGTGTTGCCGGCTGCTGTCTGTCGAGGGGGTGCGAGCGGGCTGGCATGCGCATGACAGCCCTGCTGCTTTTGGGTACCATCATTCCCTGCCGTTCCCGCGGTACCAAGTCGCATGGGTGTGGATGGAGGCAGCATTACCACCGCCAGCATAGACGTGGGCGTCCGTCGTCTCGACCGGGTTGCCTGCAGCCCACGCCCCCTTTTGCAGCCGAGTGCTGATCTGAAGTCGTGTTTCGTAGGCAGCCGTCCGGACTGCTTCGTATATGACATGTAGTGAGGCTACAATCGTAGTGGATGCTTCAGCTTACAGGGACAGGCCTGGATGATGACCATGACTCTGCTTACATGGAAACATGAAAAAGTTGCAATGAGATAATGAATGAGAGAGAGGGGCGAGGGAGAATGGAATATCGTCATTGATTCGTGAATTATAAGTCTTTATAGGGAGTATCCGTAATATGCAATATACCTTGATCCCATATACTGAGAGATGGGGAGAAGATGAAACAAAAAATAAAAACCGAAGACTTTTTTTTTCTCCTCTCTATTTCATAAAAAAAAAACTTCCATGTGTAGGAAGGAAAGGGGGGGGGGGTATCATCCATCTCTTCTTTTTTTTTCTCTCTCCCTTCTTTCTTTATGCCGAAAACAAAAAGCAGACAGAAGCAGACAAAAGCAGATGGGAGCCGTGCATCGCTTGAATAGTATAAGTCAGATAAAGACAAAAGTGTATATATATATATATGTATATATATATACGTTGAAGACGAGGTAGACGAGAAGCGTAAGATAAGGTGGGGGTTGGGAGTTTTCCTTTCGGAGGATTGTCAAAGAGAGCTCTCCTCTTCATGATTGAGAAGGTCTCCGAGAGGTAGGCTCCCCGCTGATCCGGTGACCGTGTAGAGTCTCGAGATCCTCGTACTCTACCAGCGGCTGCTCCAGGACCTCGTAGCTCGGAGGGCTGGGAGGCACGTCCTGGTAGACGGGGGGCGCCTCCTCGTCCCAGCTGACGCCCAGGCCGGAGTGCTCGGTCAGGATGACGGGGAAGTGCATGCGGAGGATGCGGCCGGTACCGGTCTGGCCGGACTGCTGAGGCCTTCCTTCGGGGGCGAACTCCTTGGAGACGACGAGCTCGACGAGCAGCGAGTGGGTGATTTGCGTGCCGTCACGCGACTTGGAGTCGCAGGCGAACTTGAGGTCGCCGTTGCGGTGGCGCTGGTTGATGGCGTAGTCGAACTCGACGTCGGCGCAGCCGTCGACGCCGGTGTAGTCCGACTTCCACCCTCCGTGTATGCTCTTCTCGCCCAGGAGGCGGACCTCGGTGCGTACGACGCCCTTTCTCGTAGGGACGGTCTCCTGCTCCTGCTCCTGCTCTTGCCCCTGCCCCTGCCCCTGCTCCTGCCCCTGCTCCTGCTGCTGGACGGAGATGACCTGCGTCTGCGTCTGCTGCTGCTGCTGCTCGGAGGTTGCGGCTGATGATGCGGTGGCGGTGGTGTCGACGACGGGCTGCGTAGAGGCAGGGAGGGGGATCTCCTCGGCCGAGGGGCTGTGCTTGTCGCAGGCGGGGGCGATGATGCTGGTGGTCTCCTCCAGCTTCCAGGTGATCTTCTTGAGGCGCCAGATGTCGAGGAGGCGTGTCTGCTCGTTGTGGGACATGAGCCCGTCGAGCTTGAGGGTGACGCGGTTGGCTCCGGTGGGGTGGATGACGGTCGGGTACGTGACCGTGCTCTTGATGTTGGTCGGGGGGAAGAGGCGGATCGACTGCTTGGGGGCGTCGGGCTGGGCGACGGATCGGCGGACCGAGAGGGTGCGCTCGAACTTGACGGTGCCGGAGGGCCATGTCGGGTTGGACGGTGCCGATGCCGATGCCGATGCCGACGCCGACGCCGACGCCGAACCGGAATGGTGGTGGTGGGAGTGGGAGTGGGAGTGGGAGTGCGACTGGGACGAGAAGGCGGACGGAGACGAGGCGGCGACGTAGGCCACGGCCCTGAGCTCGTACGAGATCTCGAGCAGGGAAGAGTTGACGGAGGCGGGCAGGTGGCCGTCCAGCAGGGTGGAGAAGGGGAAGAGGTGCTTCCCCGCGCGGAGGGCGGTGGCGTGGTGGCCGCCCAGGAAGGTCCAGGACTTGAGCTCGGTGGTCTGGGTGCGGCAGTCGTGGCAGTGGTTCTGGAAGGGCCTCTTGTGCGTCGTGTGCATGGTCAGGGTGGCGGCGAAGCCGTCGAGCTCGACGACGTCGTGCCTGACGTTGACCACCATCTGGCCCGACACCAGGGCGCCCGTGCTCTCGTCCGGGCTGCCGTGGAAGGTGATGGGCGGGCTCTCGATGCTGCAGTCCAGCTTGACGGCCGTGCTGCTGGGGTCCTTGCGGACGAAGGGGAGGGAGGCCAGGTGGCGGTGGGACTTGATGGCGTCGGCGAAGTCGGGCATCATCTTGGAGGCGTGATGAGCGTACCCGTGACCGTGACCGTGACCATGACCGTGAGAGTGACCGTGAGAGTGGTGTGAGTGTCCGCTCTCGCTATCATCCGTGTCGGAGGCGTCCGGGGTCGAGTGTCGCGATCGGCTGTGTGCTGCCTTTTTGATCTGCGCAATGTTTCCCGAAGGGTTGCGGAGGAAATTTGTGACGAGACCAGGCATTGCTGAGTTTCCGTTCTTTATTTTTTTTGGGGGGGGGGGAGGGGGGAGGGGGGAGAGGAGGGGTTGAATTGGTGTAGAGGGAAGTTTGGGGGGGGGGGGTCTTCTGTTCCTTTTCCCCCGACTCTGATGACGCCAACAGAAAGATGACTATATCTCCTCTCTTCTCCTCTTCTTCTCTTCTTTTCTGTCTGGAAGGGGGAGGAGGAAGAGGGATGCGGGGTAGAATAAGAAGAAGAAGAGGGAAAATAAAATAGAAAAGAAGCAGAGAAACGAGAAGAGAGTATGGGTAGTATCGAGGATTCCGGGGGTCACGCGGCCAGAATGCAAAGGAGATTTCCTGCGTGCCACTCCGCGCTTCTGTCGTATTATCACTGCTCACTGCAGGTCTTGCAGCATATCATGCGGCGTGGTGTAGTCGAGTTGGGTACGATATTACGGCCCCTCACTCCAAGGTCTGTCTCCGAACGAGGACCGTACAGAGAGAGGGCGTCGGGGTGCTTTGCTTTGGTGGAGGAGGAGGAGGAGGATGGACAGGAGAGAAGAGTGGATGATCCTCTTCTGTTCTCTCTCTCCCCGAACCTGTCGGCTGGTTTCCGCAGAGACCAGATCTGGGCTCGAGACGGGAGACGGGGGATGTGATGTAAGTGTGCGTGCAGGTTGGCTGATCCGGCGCCGCTGTCGGAGTCGATGCAGTCTGCCGAGACGGACGTTGTGACGGCAGGACGTATATCGTATATCCCTTCCGTGTAAGTCGTCGGCTTGTACCAGTGCCCACGGGAGATGGAGGATGGGATGTCGATGAGGGGAGGGCAGGAGAGATGACGATATAAGATGTAAATCGATTTGGAGAATGGCAAGATCAAGATGGAAAAAAAAAAATTCATATAAGAAAAAATTGATGAGGGCGATGCCGGAGTTTTAATAACAGAACAGGACGAGACCGAATCGGTGCTAGAACATGCTCGCGTCCCGGCCCCATGGCAGAGCAAAACTATGTGTCATAACCAGGCATGTGTGAATATTTTTTTTTTCTGTGGTTCCCTCTCTCTTCTCGGCGGAGAGCTGTAATACGGAGAGGTACGAGGAGGACGGCTACTGCTGCTAGTAGAAGGTAAAGTATTAGGCACAGGTAATAATAACAACACTACGAGTCTAGACGGAAGTAATAATAATGGATATTACGACGTAATGGTCGACGACCAAGGACGTAGCATTACTCCGTACCAGGTTAGCAGTAAGTAGTATCCATTATTATTTCTTCTTTTTTTTTTTCAACTTTTTTTTTTTTTCCCATGTCAAGTGAAGCCCAGGCACAGCCGGGGATGCAGAGTGGATCGAACCTTTCCGGTCCAGGTATACACCATGTACCGAGTACCGGCGCAGGGCATCCTGGCTCGTGTACAGAGTACTCGCGATCGACAGCGGTAGCTGGGACGAGGATGCGGAGGGAGCAGAGAAGCGCGTCGAGGTTGCGGTTGCGCCTCGAAGAGTACCGGTGACGACCCACGGCTGCGCACGTACGGGTAGAGTGACGGGTCGTGATACATGTACGTGCAGACCGTCACCGATGTAATCAAGGTAGCGTCACGGCTCTCGACTAATTCCCAAGGGCGTATTCGACCTTGTCGGACTACCCATCCATCTCCCAAAAAAAAAAGAGAGACCTCTGAACGGTAGGGACCCCGACATGTCGTCTCACATTGGGTGATTTATTACGTACAATTGCTCATGCCTTGCGTCGTCCTCGTCACCCGTGCCCAGCACATCACCAGACGACAACACACACAAGACCGCTTTTTTTTTTTTCCTCTTTTTCTTTTTCTTTTTTCGACGAGTACGTCTTCTTCCCTTCTGGCACGTGGCGTCCCCTCAGCCCCCGCCTAGGCGCGGCCCTCGGAGGGGGAGGACAGGAGTAGGATCGACCGTGGTCGTGATCGTGTCGGCGGATATGTGTGTGATGCTACGTCTTCGTCAGGCGGGTGGAGGGGATGAGGAAAGATGAGAGAAAGATGGAAGGTGCTGTGAATCCAACGGGCCTTCATCTTCAGAGAGCCTCGATACAGGTACGGAACGTGATCGCATGTGACGGTCCTGCCCTCCCTTGTCTCCCCTTACCAGCCCGATGCACCAGCCCGGTGTGGATGCGTTGCACTCGCTCGCTCTGCCACATCAGCACATGTACGGGGGGTGACGATGATGATGCCTTCCATCGTGACGGGCTCTCTCTCTACAGAAGCACCTCTGCGACTTTTCCAGAGACGGTGTGCGTGCTCCAGACATCGGTAGTCAGTCGTTGGCTGGTGGCCGGCCGGCGCTGGCCGGGCGGGTTACCGCTCCACAGAGGGGGGGGCTAGAGAGGGCGAGGGAGCATAACAAGTATCATTATGGTGTCAGCCTGTGCACGGCGGAGGAGTCACCCTCGATGACGTTTTCCCAACGGCCGTGGATTTTTCTTGCTCTCCCCCTTACCAAAAGGCCGCTGTTGACTTACCCATCATCACCGCCCATGTACGGGGGAGTGCTTGGCTGTGGTGATATACATCACCTGGGCTGGCAGTTGCTGGCAATGCCCATCTCCTCTTCGAGGCACGGACGGGAGAGACTTGAATTCGATGATATCCTCCCCTTCCGGCAGAGCCGAATGATGAAATGATGAATTGCATCGTGCGAGCAGAGCATTCTCCTCCTCCCGCCCGCTCCTCCCGTTCCGAGCACCGTCCCCCCTTCGGATCAGGATGTCATCCGTCTTACCACCTGCATGGCTACTCCGTACTGTCAATGTAGTACCTGTGAGAGGGATACATGCATGTTGTATATGCTATATACATGTATGTCGTATATACATGGTTGCTGTCTATGCACGTATGTGGTATATACATGTATATTGTATGTACATGGCTGCTGTATATACAAGTATGCGGTATATGCATGGTTGTTGTATATACAAGTATGCTGTATTACATATATATATACGTTTATATATATATATATATGCACATACACACACATATATATATATATATATGTATATACATCGCCGTTACATATTTACATATATATATATACTTGCATATATAGATGAATAGAACCCCTCTTACAAAAATATATATATAACCAGAATCTCTCTCTCTCTCTCTCTCGTGTATCCACGGCTCTAGTCATAAGATGTATTAGTTACCAGCTGGGGTGTGGGGCTCTTTCTCTCCAGAACAAGGGGGAAGAAGGAAAAAAAAGTTTTCTTCTTTCTTTTTTTTTTCCCTTCTCGTCTTCTTCCCGCCCCACCGATCACCCGCCGGTAGCAAATTTTCTGTCTTCTTCTCTTCTCTCTCTCTCTCCTTCTCTGGGGCACCCTGTCTACCTCTTCTCTGTGGGTCAAGCTTTCCAGCCGGGAGACTGCCGGGTTGCAAGAAGGGGGAAGAGGACTTGTGACTCGAGGCCTTCTGACACCGGCATGACATGTACCTCGTACGACTATGGATACGTACTCGTAGTATGGCCGAATCCACTGGAAGAAATTTTCCATCTACTAGGGGCATGTACGGATACGGATACTCGAGATGTCCTTGGCCGTAGGGCGGAGAGAATGAGAGGAGAGGGATCGCTACTGCCATGACAGATTATAGAGTGTGGCTCGATATGCTCGTACAATGTATCTTGCAATTGTACATCAAAGGGCGGTAAGCGTGCTGAGGGGAGGGGAGGGGGGGGATGATGAGTACTGTAAGACTATATAGTCTAAGTCTATCGATAGAGAGAGAGAGAGAGAGAGAGAGAGAGAGCAATCGTACAGGAGAGGAGATGATTGTAGGAGAAATACATCATGCGTCGTTCACTGCCGTCGAGAGAGAGACGACCCTCGTGGGCTCATGCGAGTAACGTAATGGTGATGTATAGTATGATAGACCGAGCATGCACCACAGCCGGAGAATCCAAGAACAGAATTGAGGGGCAGGCCATGAAAGGAGGCTGTCACTAGCACGATACACCGGGTCGATGGCTTGTGTACGGTGATGCTTGCTCTGTCTGTATAGTCTGTTGAGTAACACATGTACGGCAGAGAGAGAGAGAGGAGGGAGAGAGAGAGAGATGAAACTAAACTAACCAGGCTAGCCGCTGCAAAAGGTTTACCCCCCCTTACCAGCTAATAAGTAGCTAATAAGTAGCTAGCAAGTAACAATGATATGCAGGATACTCGTATTCTGACTACTTGCTCTACTGCATGCACCCACGTCCCACGTGCCCGTTCCTTTTCTGTCCCATCCAGGTCATTCGCCATCATCTCTCCTGGTGACGAAGCATCACGATCCACCGACGGGCCTTCGAGAACGTACGAGTTTTTCTGGCTCTCCGTGTCCGCTGCACGTGCAAGCAGCCATTGCAGGTTACAGGCCACTGGCAGGTTAGGTAACAGATGACAGTACGGGTAATAATATGTGACGGGGCTCTCTTGCTGCCAGTCCCTCAGCAGCATCCCCATCGGTATCGATCAAGCCTCCGGTGCGACAGCCTCGCCCCTCTCGGCCGCTACGGGGGGGGGGGCGACGAGGAGAGAGATCTCGGCCCCGCCACTGCCACCGTCACCGTCACTCTGCCACCGTCACTCTGCCGATAACATGATCCTATCGCCTCTTCCTTCCGTACGACGGTATAACGTCAACGGCATATCAAGCTGGTGGTGATGCGGTGCATGCTGATGCTGATATGCTGCATTCCAGCATCGTCAATACCACTGCGCGCCTCTCGCTTCTGCTGCCTGCCCTCCCCCTCTTCAAGCCTTCTTCCCCGGCTGTCTCTCTCTCTCTCTCTCTCTCCCTCGTGCGGGATAATATCATGCACCGTTCCGGTACCTGATGATGCCATCCCTCCCCCGCAAGATTATGACTCTGGGGTCTATCGATTCTCTCTACTCGGCATCACGCTTCCATATGATATTGCACATTGTATGCTTGCTGTATCACCATCACCACCGTGTATCATCGTACTATTTCTCCATCTTCCTCCCCTCCCCCCTTTCCCTCTCCTCTCCTTCTCCTTTCCCAGCTCAGCTCCTCAACTCTTCTCGACCGGGGAGAGCAGAGATGTTGGAGGATGAGTCGACTTCGGATCCCGTCCGGATTCGCACACACAAAACCTGTTGAGGCTCCTCGCGTGCGTCTCGAGTACGTAAGAATTATTGCACCACCCCCCCCCCCATACACCTTTTTTTTATTTCATCTAAAAAATAATTATGTAAATGAATAAATAAAAATAGTAAAAGTCGTTCTACCTGCATTACGTACCTTGTTGGGTCCTATAATCAATCGCGATTCGCCAGAGCACGTATTTCGATCGAGTAAAGGAATACTACCGTGAATGTAGCCGCCTAAAGCATAACGTCGTCTCTACCCTGTCACCGGCCGGCCATGGCCCAAGCAACCATTCATTCACGCTCGGTGGTGGGTCAGATCTGTTACAGCTTGCAAGCAGGGAGAGGAGAGGATGAAGAGAATAAAGGGGGGGGGGGGAAGCTACGGAGGGTCAGTCGTCGCTGTCGTCGCTGCCGTCGCTGTCGTCGTCCTCATCTGAGATGGCGCCATGTTTGTAGAGAGGGGAGCAGAGACTCACCGTGATGAAGGATATGAATACCTGTAATATCTGTATTGCACGATACGACCTATTACGGAGCATCACCATCATCATCATACTCATCATGCTCCGACGACATTGCAAGGCTCGTACCGTACTCTCGTCGTCATGATGTACTCCATATCTTCCCCCGCGCGTCGCCGTCAAATCATGCCGAGGACATGCACTCCGCGCGCGCGGGGGAGCAATGGTGTATTGTGGGAGATTCGCCCGTAAAACCTTCCGACTTCCTCCCCCATCCTTCCGATCTTCTCTACATCTCATCGATGGGTAAGATCTGGACGGGCCTCGGTCAGCGCCAAACCGGCCATTTTTTTTCGCTACCGCACCATCTTCACACGACACGGGCTGTCCCTCTCCGATATCGGTTCCTCTTCCACCCCCTAGGGCTCTCTTCTCTCTCTACTCTCTCGACTCTCTCCCATCCAGTCAGCCTCGAGCTGGAATTGATGTCGGTCACAAGACAATAGCTGTCGACGGTTGAAGGTTGACGCCTCTTCAATCGTAAGCGTGCGTGTACATGTGCTGTGCTTTGACTAGGAAGAGAAGAGAAGAAGAAGAATAAAGTCATGGGAAAGGCGTCTTTGACGACGAGCATGTCAACCATGTCATCCCCGATCCGAGTCCAGACCTCCGATCGACTACAGCCAAGAGAGAGAAGAGGGGGGGGGGGGGGGGGGGGGGGGGGATAGCGAATATAGGTTGATCGATCAATCAATCAACCTACTATCACACCATCCTCATTCCGTCTTGCGCCCACGTGCGGGGTGGTGTGTCTCTCTCTGTGTGTGTGTGTGTGTGCGTGTGTGTGCGCGCGCGCGTATCGACATGTGTCCTGCTGGATAGTACTCGTGACCGACTCTGCCATGGTATCATTACTACTACACGGCGAAGGGCAAGAAAAAAAAAAAGACAGGCTTCCGCTAGGGGTTCCCCGCTGCCTCGTTCGGAGGTCCCCGTCGGGGAGGGGATGGAAGGCATCAGACGGGGTCGTCGGTGTCTGCCGTCACCGACAGCGTACGTATACTCTCACCCGTATGCATTGCCTGGACAGGTGCCGTCTTATCTACTCCTATCCCCCGCATACTCTTGAATCTCCCCGGATCCCGCCCAATTGGCACGTAGATGGAACCTGTATTCGAGAATATTCTGGATCCGAAGAATCCGTCTCATCCCCCCCAGAACGAGGCGGAAGCTGACTCTGCTGGACCGTATGCGCGCATCGCCCCCGAGACATTGACCTACCCGGTAGGGCACGCCGAGGGGAAGAGGTAGTCAGCCGTAGCAGTTGTTTATTAGTAGTAGTCGTCCGTGAAGTGGTAGATGATGAGTTGGCGTCCATGATTTTTGCGCTCTAGAGGTGAACGGTGAAGAGAAGAGGGCAGGCGGAGTGCTCGGAGCGTCGTTTCCCCCTTCATCTTTATATCTTGGTATGGAAGTAATAATAAAAAAAGGGTCGACCGATATGATATCTGGCCATCGAGGACTCAACCTCTCATCCACCCTTGTGAGCACTTCCAACAACTCACCTCTCTGAGAAGGAAGAATTGGAAGATACGAGAAGATGCAGAAGGAGAAGGAGAAGAAAAACACCAGATCAATTCATAAACTGATCATATCCCAACACAGAGCGCAGAGTTTGCAATTACCCAGACGTGCATACCCCATCTCCATATATTCACATCAACACACCAGCTTACCAGCTACTGCCTGCTGCTTACTACCGCTTCGGCGAACCTTTTTTCCGTCGTCCCGCCAAGATTTCCCACCTCCAACCTTCTAAGCTGCATGCTTTGCTACCTGACCGCATCCAAAGTCGATTCCAAGGGAGAAAAAAAAAACAAGACAAAAAACAACCACCAATTTCCTCGACCCTCGACGATCTCGAAACCTCGTCCACACGTTCCTCCCGACCTTCCCCTCCGTCCACCACTCGCACTGCACAATGACCGGACGCGGTGGCGGCGGTGGTCGCAAGGTTCTCCTGCCTCCCATGTGAGTATACGCGCGGGAACACCACACCACACACTCCCCCCCGCATCGCATCGCATTGCTGACTGATCTTGCAGCAACATGATCTTTAGGCTTCTCCAAAGCGTGAGTCTCCCTCGCTCCTGCTTCACCCGCTTCGGCTTTCCGATCATATCCCGTCGGAACCTGGCTATGCCGAGACGAGACGAGACAGACAGACCCCGAGAGCGGACCGCCGATCATCTTGAGAGCCAAACGTGCCCTGCCGACCCGATGGCGTAGATCTAATCCCCATGGCTGGCATGGGGCATCTCCTGTGCAACGGCCCGATGCAGAAGCACGGGGACCTCGCTCCCAGCTATGAGCCGCACAGCGCACACATACAGACACAGACAGACGTGCGCACGGTACCTAGGCTAACAGGTTGCAGAACACGCCCGTCAGCGTCTGGCTGTACGAGCAGCTGTCCATCCGTATCGAGGGAAAGATTAGGGTGTGTATCTCTCCTCCTTCTTTTTCCTCTCTCTCCTTCTTTTTCCTCTCTCTCCTTCTTTTTCCTCTCTCTCCTTCTTTTTCCTCCCTCTCTTTTTTTTTTTGGTGGAGGGGGGGGGGGTTGGGGTTTCCTTTATTCTACGGGGTTCTTTTCTTCTTCTTCTTCGGCTGGGCTATATGGGTATGCTCACACATGGACCAGGGATTTGACGAGTTCATGAACCTCGTTCTCGACGACGCCGTCGAGGTCAAGCAGATTACCAAGACGAATGACAAGGAGACGCGGCGATCATTGGGTGAGTTTTTTTCTCTCTCCTTCTTCTTCTTCTTCTCTCCTCCACCCCTTCTCTTTTCAGGTTGAAGATGTAAAAGGGAAAGGGAAGGAAAGGGGATACCTCACATCTCATATGCACTTGATATTGACGGAATCAATAGGGCAAATCATGCTCAAGGGTGACAATGTGTCTCTGATTCAGAGCATCCAGGGTTAATATCTGATAGAGAAAGTAATAAGAAGGATGAGAATACATAGAAAAAAAATCGTCATGAAGAAAAGAAGGAAGAGAAAACATGCAGATGGTCACTCTCTTGCAACTTGGAGCGGAGGAGGGGGGGGGGGGGGGGG